CAACACACAACCACAATACTCCAAATGAAAATACCTCCACACTTCATATCAAAACATCAATTAGAAAGGCAACATGGTTCCTAGCTTGTACCTATCTACTGCAGTCACTAACCAATCATCATAAAAATCACCACTACAATGGAAAATCAACTACACAACCAAAGTAATAAGGTTGGAAATCCAGCTGAAAGCAGCTAGATATCCATCTAACCTTCACCCACTCGGTTCCATTTAATTGTAGACATATGTATGAGGCGCCCCCTATGGACTTGTGAACAGTGTTTCCATGAATTACTATGGATTTAATCAATTAGACGTAACTAGGTATTAGTGGGCTATATACTCGTTCGTATGGCCAATAAAGTTGATTAATTGACAATTATTGGGTAACAAATAGGTTTTTGGGGGAATTTACGCAGCAGTAAACACTAGTTTATTGCAAGTCCAAATTCAATACCATTTATTCCTTAAAATTATTCTCGACATGCGAAAACTTTATCACTCTTCTTACAGACCAGTAAGACAGAAATAAATGACCTATTTTAACCGACTTCAAAAAAATAATTTCTAATATTGTTGATAGTGTCAATTGGCTTGATGATTAAGATTTTGCATGCACCAGTAGGAAATTAAAAGCATTCTTGCTGCCTCTGACATCTGGTGCGTGACCAAGAGGATTAAAGTCAAAGTCAAGTCAAAGTCAAAGTTAAAGCATCAATTTCAATTAAACCATAATTAAGTACGAGCAAGAAACTCCATTCGTTACAGAAAGGTTCTCGGGTTAAATTTATAAATTGAAAGTATTGTTAGAAATGTTTATTAATTTAGAAATAGAACAAATCGATATATTAAAGAAGGGCCAAATTAAAAGTACCCTTAACCGACGAGCATACATGAAAAGATTGATGACTGTTAATGAAGCGAAAGAGGTATGTAAGAATCGTGGTAATTGGCGTTCCTTAGTCTCTGCCTACCCCCTTGGGAGACAGGCGTGAAGTTATGTATGTATGTATGTAAATAGAACAAAATGTACGATGAGATTATCCCCTATTACATAACTAAAGAATAGATGCAAAATAATGTAATCGCAACCACGCGTTCGTTATTTTATTAATACACCACAACCTACGGAAATGAATGTGTAATAATAACCCGAATTACACATGTAAGCCACTATTACAAAAATATTTTAATCATACAATATGTTAGCTGTACGCCCTCACAATCAAGGCCAGCGGGAATAAACACACGCTAATAAAACACAAAACTTATTCTTGATAGCAATAATTTAGGCATTAACATATAAACAGTCTGATTTCATGATTCGTTTCATTCAGGAAACATGAAAAATGTACGTAAATCTTGTGATTCTGTGGCACTGGTAACAAAAAAGTCAAATGGTATTTTTTTAAGGGCGAAATCATCGAATGACTTCTGCCACCTGGGTGAGGCCGGAGGGAGTGTCAGAATCTTACTGACTAAAAACCATACCGTTCCTTCTCCTGCACGTCGAGCCGGAGCCCCGATAACCTCTTAGGTTCTCCGCGACAGTCAAATGGTATGGATGGATAATTCACCAGAACTGAAATCCAAATTACAATTAGAACCAGAATACATTTAAATTATGCGACAATAAATATTTTTTTACAAACCACGTTTAAAAATCCTAGTTAATCCCCCTCGTTTTTTGAGGTCGCTTTAATAATCTCTTTTCTGTCGATATAATATGACAATAGAAAACACATTATGTATCGCGTTGATCTGTGTTCCGACAGACAAGAAGTTAATATACTTAAACCTCCAAAGTGTAACAAGTGTGTGTTAAGTGTGGGAGAGCCATGCTTCGGTATGAATGTGCCGGCTCCACCTGAGTGATACCACGGCCTCACATAAGACCGACGTGAAACAACGTCGTGCGTGTCGTGTTGTGTTTCGTCATGTGAGTGAAGTTACTGGATGCCCAATTACCCCCCCCCCCCCCTCCCTTTCCCCAATCCCTAAATCCCCAACAATCCTGAAATTCCTAATTCCAAAAGGTCGGTAACGTACTTGTAACACCTCTGGTGTTCCAGGTGTCCATGGGCGACGCCGATTGCTTACCATCAGGTGATCCGTCCACTTCTGAAACCGCATCAGAATCGGTTCAACCAATCGCGAGATAATTGCGCACAAACATACATACATACAGGGCAAAAAGTGGGTTAAAAAAAGTTTGTAGATGACCTTAAAAATATAAAGAAAATTGTGGAAAAATGTTTTAATTGTAGAAAATGATTGTGACAAATAAATGTTTCTTTCCAATTTTATTGTTTAAAATGGTCGTTTCGCGAAGCTATTAAAATGGTTTTTCATTAACACTCGTGAAAGTTTTAATTAAGATTGAGAACAGAAATACTCAAGATTTAATCAAAAGTTCAATTGAATCTTATTCAACGGCTTTCTGAAAAAAATATATTTTTCATGGAAGAAAATAATAATATTTCGAATAAAAAATACGAATAAGTACATAACATTGGATAACCCAGATCTTAAGTATTTTGAGTCGGTAAATAATCGTTTTGTGGTGTTTAACCCCTCGAGCGTCCTTATGAGCACCCGGTGGATCATAAGAAAAATGCTCCATGCTGCTTTTTAATAAAATCTGTTACTAATGTTTTGTTTTTATTTTTACTGTATTTGTTTTATTTCTATTGTAATGATCCTTGTTTTCGTGTGCTAATTGCCAAATAAATGCATTTTCTTTCTTTCTTTCTTTCTTTCTCTAAATGTCACATATGCACCCGTTGGATCATAAGGAAAAGAACGCTCGACAGGTTAATTAGGCGCTTCATCGCTTACCACCAGGCGAGATAGTCACCAAATGTCGGCCCACCTAATAAATATATAAAAAAATTTTTGGTAGGCGCTTGAGCGCAAAAATCGTTTATTATTTGTTTGTTTCTGTTTATCAATTTGACTCTTAAGATAAAATGTAAATTATTCCATTACAATTACAATGTAAGTGCACCGAATTCATTAATTGTTGTTCTAGGTCTGGGTTTTATACAAACATCATAAACGTTTGCAAACACAAGTATGACACAGGGAAAAAATCTGTGGTAAAAGGGGTTTTTATAAACATAAACACTTGACCATAATACAGGTACTTTTTCTTTTCCTATAATCCCTGAAGAAATAGGCAGAGTTACACCATATGTAGTTACACATACACAATGTAACACCCATCAGCTACGTTACAAGTCCCATGTAATAGGGTAGATGACTAATTTTTATTTTAATGTCCGTCTGATAGATTATTTAAAAACACGTATTTTTAATTTTTTTACAGAAACGAATACTTTCGACGATATATTGATTTGAAATCGCGTGACGTCACTTCTATGTACATATTATACATAGAAATGACGTTTTAGCCCCCGTAGTTTAATTATATTATACAACAAAAAAATACGTGTCTAATATTTTTTCATTACCTAACTGACGGACTAAGCACATTTTTAATTTTCACACCTTGTCATCATCCCTATTAGCGGTGAGACTATTCCCATATTAAACTGAATAGGTACAATTCGAAACTTTAAAATATTATCAAAAATCCCAACAACACTTTGTCTGAACCAGTTTCCCGACCAAGCATTCTTCGATCAATTATAACTGCAAGCATTCCACACATTCGCTCCCACTTGCGATCGTTCAACGAGGCAGTCACAATAGTCGTCTAGTAAAACCACCATTAACAATAGACGATCGGCAATCTCGCGACTATTAGAGTGACTCATAGTTGATACTCACTGTAACACTGCTCCAATACCCGTCAATTATTAACCGATTGTCAACTCTGCCGTTGTGAATTAAAGTTCAGATTAGATTGTTGGAATTTGATAGATTGGTATAGGTTCATGTGCGGCTGTTTGTATATTATTCGTTCCTGATATTTTTAGACACAAACGAACCGGTTTTGGCTGGTACTTTACTTGTGTTGTTATTTTTTGCTCGATTTGATGTAGATTAGGACGTTTTGACTTAAGAACGAATTCAGAAACGAGTGTAGAAGTGTTCTATATAGCTATATCTGATTGTATTATTATTTTGCCATGTTAGACCGCATCAGTTTTGTAATTTACGAGTCCCAAGCAGTCTGACGATTCTGTATATGAATAAAATAGAATGAACTATCTTTCAAAGACTTGTTTGTCTTACGATTTCTTGCATTAACTCGTCGAGTACCGGTTTTATAGACACAATTAAAGAACAATAGGTCGCGGTCACCGGTGACCGCTTTGTGTTTGACAGTTTAAATATTTGCTATTCAAGCAAAAATATTGAAGCAAAATTAAATATAGGATACTGGGCGTCCATTAGAAATACCAATAGGTACTTCTTTTCCAGTCGTCTATTTTGAAAGTCCTGACGTCACTAATCATGATTGATTTACAGAAATAGTACAGAAGGTGATATAAAAATGAATTCAAATAATACAGACGCATAGAATAATGGGATTGATCGATTACTAAGATTAGTATTTTCATTACTCTAACAGAAAGTCCACGATTCTTTTATTATGATGTTTTTTATCATGACAACGCTAAACAAATTGTGTTTATTATCCGACGCGAGAAGTAATGCTTCTTGTTAGCTCACATCTGCTGTTTACATCCAAAAATACATACATATACCTTCATAGAATATCTGTTATATTGTTTTCCGCCTTCCAAATTGTTAGTTCAGTGTTTCACGCGAATTCAAGCAAACTTGATGTTCCTGAACTCAGATTTTCATTAATTATACCGCGAATTAACGAAGTTCCAAACACCTATAAATTCAACAAACTATTTTCTTAGAATGTACATTATGTTGGGAATCAGTTAACTGTTTAGATTATAACTTTAGTTCTTATTTTAACTTTGATAGAGTTGAAAGTGAAATAAAAATCATTTAGTACGTTACCGTGATAGAAGACACATGTGATGATAAGAACAAAAGTGAAGTAAAGTGCAAAAATGACTGAGAAAAAAATGGATCGGTTGAAAAATCGGTTCATGACGTTACAAGGGAAAATACAAGATCGTATGGATGAACTACAAGACCAGGTGCAGAATAAAATAGAAAGGTCAAAGCTATCGAAGTTTATATCTAATTTGTCTGAAGAAACTAGGAGTTCAGTTGATGACAACTCTGTAGAAAGTGTTGAATTAAGTTCTAGTGAAGGAGACGTCGGTAAGGAGAATCCAACTATACCTTCATTTGTTATTGATGGACCGGCAGACAATGAAAACCCAAAGGATATCTGCAAGGAATTCATTAAAGTTGAACAAGGCACAGGCACCGTACTTTATAAAAGTCGCTCGGCTTGCAACCTCGCGTACGATGATACGAATAATGATAGCTCCAGTGAATCCTGCTTGTCGTGTTTATCGTCCAGTGAAGAAAGAGAAAGGTAATCGAATTGAAATTCAACTTTTGTTCTTGAATTTTGAACTTGTCCTTTAGGAACTTTGTGGTTATTTGGCCATCAGTTAAACATTACAATACTTTTTTCCTTTATAATTATTCCAGTATATTCCAATAATGTTTTGCTACCCATGATTTCCCCAACATAGTTTGTATTTAATCGAAATATTACCAAAATAATAATTAATTCTATTTACTTCCTACATAGAACTTAATTTATTTTAATATCCTCCTCAATTTTAATTACAATTTTATTATGACAACGATCATTATATTCCACAAGTACACTGTGTTTAGAAGAAGTCATAAAAAGAATATAATTTTCATTGATACAAGTTTTAATTACATTATTCTCCTCTCTTAAAGCATTAGGTAGGTACCTGCAGACTTAGTTTTTTTTTATTTCTTTGAATTATTACCACAGAACATCAGAACCGCGCCCAAGAGCTGGCAGTCTTCCTCCAGGAGCTGCCTTGGACCAACCATCACCATTACTCGTTTGCTCCGACCTCATCGAGAAGTTCAGCAACAAATTTCCAAAATTCAAGAGTCAAGGCGACAGATTCCATAGGGTATTCTTGGTTTTTTAGCGTTGGTGTTAATAGCATGAGATTTTTGTACGCTTCCTTTATCTGTGGTGTGGTCTAACTTGGCAATGGATGATGTGTCTATTATTTTCTACGCTGTATGTACATTGCTGTAACTAACATTATGTAAATACGATGGACTACTATTAAAATTACTAATACTTATGGAAATTATGTTATTTTCTAAACACGGGGTAATATTTCATCTTCATCTTGTTAAGTGGTGTCGTTAGTATTATTGATAACTATTTATGCTGTAGGTACTATGACACAGTAATTTATTGGTATTCAGTTTCTTTAATCACGATTTGCAAAGATCTATGTATTAGGTTTAATTTATGGCATGCTAAATGTGGTAAGACTAACTTGTAAATACTAAACAATTTGTTTTGAATAATTTTAATGATTGATAGTTTCGACGTATTTTCTAAATGAAATAAATATATGCGACAGGTAAGTTAACGTAAGTTTATATTGTTTTAAACAGGCTCTAAACAAGCGATAACATTTCGGTCTATGCGTTGATTAAATGCTGGTCTGTATTATCAAAAAGTCCACGGTCATACGATGTCAAAATTTCATAGAACCAAATCTAGAAAGGAAAATAATTTACAGAAACTCAGTCTATAATAACAACAATGTTATTCCTCAAATGACCGTAAAAGTGAATACGGATTCATTTCCTCTGTAGATTTCACGGAAATGTCTTCGCTTTTACAGCGATGAAAATGAAAATGTCGCATAGAAAATTGGATTCTATGGTAGACTCGTAGGCGACGCTACGTTCCTCGGCTTGTAGATTGTGATGTCACGATTGGAATAATCAATTCCACTGAACATCAATTCCAATTTCATTTATGACATCGTATTGGTCGCCTTCGGAAACTATATTTTTGTAATCCCTCTTTTGTTTCTCGTGATTTCACTCAAGCGGTAGTGATTAATTTTAATTTCACCTCTTTTCTTGGTGCGTATATTATACAAATGTTTTAAAGCCAATATTTATTAACGCTCTTTGAGTTATAGCGAAATTCGAAACCAACCTACGGGAAGTACCAAAGTGACTTTTCCGAGTTATATGTGTTTACTATGATTATTAAGATACAACTGACAAACGCTGAAGGAAAACATCGTGAGGAAACCTGGGCTTAAAGTTTGAAATCGCCAATCCGCATTGAGCAAGAGTGGTGATTAATGTTCAAACCTTTTCCGTGGTAGAAGATGCCTTTGGTCACCAGTGGCCACATATAGGCCGTTGAAGTGATAGCGAAATTAAAAAAGAAAACAACAGAAAATAAAAATAAATTATGATGGATGGATGTAGCTCGCTCTAATGGGATGTGTTTTTTATACAAACTAACCGAAATGGATTAAAATCAGCTAGTAACTGTGTTTGATCTGTGTGGAAATTCGCTTTCTCTTATGCCTATGAAAGTACATAATATCGAAGATAACGGTTATCACACGACCATTAGTGCGAATACCGCACTTCCAAAAAGAAGCCGACCAAGGCTCTCATCTCGTTAACTTTCGGCTAACCCTTTGGAGAATACCAAGCACTAAGATACATAGGGTTGAACGATCTACCGTCTTAAGCTATGTTACATCCGTTGTCCCATTAGACCGGAGAAGGACAAACAACAATGCGTCATTGATCTCGTATCACTAAAGTTCCTAAGTTTAACACCAGTAGCCGCAAATAGTTTAGCTTCTATAAACACGGTATTATGTTTAACTTGAGTTATTCACTACAGAATATATAATCAAGTTCGTATACTATAAAGAAGAGGTCTTGGGTCAGAGTTTTTTTTTAAGGGGGGAAAATCATCGAATAACTTCTCCCGCCTGGGTGAGGCGGGAGGGAGTGTCAGACTCTTACTGACTAAAAACCACCCCGTTCCTTCTCCTGCACGTCGAGCCGGTTACCCGTTAGGTTCTCCGCGACATAGGTCAGAATTTAGCTTATCTGTTCTTTAACTCGTCGAGTACCGTATTTATAGACACAATTAAAGAACAATAGGTTGCGGTCACCGGTGACCGCTTGGTGTTTGACAGTTTAAAAACAGATTCCCCAAAGTAGAATTTTCTCCTGCCTGCCTGCCTTGGAAGCGTTTACAAACATACAATTTCACATACACATGACGCAGAAACAAGAATTTGTGGGGCCTACAAAGAGTTGGTCGTGCGGGAATCGAACCCGCTGCACGTTGTGCGGCAACCGATTGCCCAACCACCGCACCAACCATGCAGTCATAGAGTTTACTTAAATTTAAGTTAGTTTTAATAAAATTCGTGATGGGTGTCATTCTTTTCTCGTACAATGGGATTTACCGTATTTTTGCTCACTAGACTGTACTAGTGTGAACCTCTCGTTCTTCGACCAATAGGGAATTAACGAGTGTCACGCCATTGGACGTATTTAACAACTGCTGTAAATCTGGTGGCCAAAAATACGGTAATTAGAACTTTACGATTATCTTGAAAAAGTCCCAAATGACACTTGCAACCAACGAGATTATTTGATTGAATGATCATCTTCTTTAGCCCGTTACCGTTGAATGCACGCCACTGACGATCGATCTTCATCTCTTTACATACAATCACTGCTGATTATTTTGTCACTTCTCCTATACTGAAAACGGCATTATACTTACTCACTCAGTCACTCTCATACTTTTTTAAAAAGAGTAACGAATGGAGTTTCTTGCTCGTTCTTCTCCATTCGAATCTACATTTTGGAATGAGCACCTAGCTTCACCTAGCTTCACTGACGGACTGACTGACAGACTATTATATATTTTGTATTTGTTGATGTTTGAAAAGTACCAAATTATGGTTTAATTGAAATAAATGCTTTGACTTTGACTTTGATTTTGACTCACACAGTCACACGTCAATACACACAAGAATATGCTTATTTATTCATCTTCTCATTTGAATACAGAAATGGATGTCGATTAGAGACATCAGGATACCTAAGTAATTTTCATGGATCCCTTTCGTAAATACAGACCTTACAATAAGATGGGTCCCACTCATACATATGCAAACGATTTGAAAGTTAGATTAGAATCTCAGACCTCATTCAGTGAGGTGAACGTTGTTAAAGTACGTAAGTAGATAACTTTGGTTTACCTACACGAATGTATAGATTTGAAAATTCAAATGTTCACATTGATTGAGGGAAGTTAGCATCCCAAAGGGCTTAGTACGAGGTTGTCTTCTTTGAACGAGATCGAACTGAGACCGTTCGGTACTCGGATTGGCCGCATCCAATAAACCAACCAATCACCGCGGTCTCGGATTTCTGGGTACAAAAAACGAAAAACCTGCTCTTTAACATGTTACCCTCATCGATATTGGTAGTTTCGATTTGAATTATCTCTGAAGATGCAGTAGGGCCTAACATTCGAGACGCTAAATCTATCTTCATGAGTACTGCAATACGTTTTTTTTTCTATATGTGTATTTTATTTATTGTTATTATTATATATTAAGTATTTATATTTATATTATACTAGCTTTTACCCGCGGCTTCGCTCGCGTCACAAAAAGATAAAACGTAGCCTATGTGACTACCCATCCCTTCAACTACCTTCAGTTGAAAAATCACGTTAAGTACCTCCGTTTTGCCGTTTAAGACAGGCAAACAAACAAACAGCTGTTCGCTTGCGTGGAATTCGGTTATAACGCGCGTTTTAGATTTTTCCGTGGGAATGAGAAGTTCTGCCGCGGTAAAGCCTTGCTTTTCCAGGACTCAAACTACCTTTATACCAAAATCGATTCAGCCGCGTGAAAGAACAGAAGAAGTTATTTTCGCATTACCACAAATACCTCCTCCCATTTTAATTTAAAAGACTTCTATTTCCTATAAGGGTTATATTTGCAATGCTAAACCAAAACTGAGTGGTAAACTATATTATAAGTTTTATTATCGAAAACCTAACTACTTTAGACATCTACTTAGAAATAAACCACTTCACTAATCTAACCTAACTAATATAGCTACAGTATCAATCAACGTAAACAATGAACAAAGCGTCTTAGAACGACGAAAAAAATTTACTATAGTACTTTAAATATCTACCTAGAAAAAATAAGACTTGACTAATCAAACCTACAAATCGAACAAATAATAATCAATTTAAACGCTAGATGCGTACCCTAAAATATAGTTGATACGGAAGGCCGGAACCTATACTTTCGCCGGTAACGAAACCATAGCGCCATCTAACTCGATCCTAACGCCATCTATCGAGCGTTGAAACAACAGCGTACAATATATTTGCTAATTGTTGAGTATTGTGCCACTATGGTTTCGTGTACCTTTAACAATCTAAAATCTATAAAATACGCAACTTAATGTAAAATGGTTGGAACCAAAATTTAAAAGCGAAGAATACTTAAAAAACAACGCTATTCCGTTTTATAAACACTCAGCGCCATCTATCGCCAAGTAGCGTAACTACCACATAGACACCAATTTCGTGTACCTTTAACAACCTAAAATCTATAAAATACCCAATTCAATGTAAAATGGTAGGAATCAAAATTTAAAACCGATAAAAATACTAAAAAAACAACGTTACTCTGTTTAATATATAATAATAAACACTCAGCGCCATCTATCGCCAAGTAGCGTAACTACTACATAGTCACCAATTTTGTGTACCTTTAACAACCTAAAATCTATAAAATACGCAATTTAATGTAAAATGGTTAGAACCAAAATTTAAAAGCGAAAAATACTTAAAAAATAGCGTAACTACTACATAGACACCAATTTCATGTACCTTTAACAACCTAAAATCTATAAAATACACAATTCAATGTAAAATGGTAGGAACCAAAATTTAAAAGCGATAAAAGTACTTTAAAATCGCAACGCTACCCCGTTTTATAAACACTCAGCGCCATCTATCGCCAAGTAGCGTAACTACTACACAACGTTACCACGTTGTGTTTTTTAAGTATTTTTACATAAAAATAGCAATTAATGAGTCGAAAAGCGCACTGAATAAGTGTAGATTAACACCAAATAAGCGCTATAGATTAAAGCGTGAAATTTCCAATTAGTAGGTAATTCGTTGAATTGTTTTAGACGGCACAAAGCGCCATCTACAGGAATACACACAGCGCCATCTATACTAATATTTTTGTTTTCCCTCGGGAATATCACATTTTTCCGGGATAAAAAGTACCCTATTATTTAATCTGGACTTCTAACTTTACGTCTGCAAAATTTCAAAGCAATCGGTTTAGTAGTTACGGCGTGAAGGTGGAACAAACAAACAAACAAACAAACTCACTTTCAGATTTATAATATTAGTAAGGATTTATTTATAATATAGTCATTATTTGGCTTTAGTTTTTTTTTTATACATAATTTTTTCTGTTACACACTGTGTCTTTTGTTTTAATTACATTTCCTGTCTCAGGTCTACTGGAAGAAATTCCAATAGGAATAAGTAGCACCTTTGTACTCTTATTTTATATATGTGTTATCCTCTGTGCTGTTTGTGTGTACATAAATTATTAAATAAATAATAATAAATAGGGTGGTGACGTCAGATAGAATAGATTATATTTTTTCAACCTTGCGTCGTCTGAGCCGATTAAGAGATTCAACGTTTAACTTACCTCCTTTGATACTCCTTTAGGTCATAACCGCTGAAGGAATCGGGATGAAATTGGTACAAGGGTAAATCATGGTCTGGAATGGGCTTAGAATACACATAGGCTACTTTTTATTCCATGAAAACGCGGTTGAAACTGCTGGCAAAAATTTATTTCTGATAAATTTAAACCTTTTAAATAGAAATAGCGGTTTACCTTGTTGCCGGGACGAACCCGGAAATTAGGCTTTTTAATGCCAATGCAATTTCCTTAATGCCTATTAAATAATTGATATTAATATTAATAAATGTTTTAGAACAAATATCAAAACAAATTGACCAGGCCTACAGAAGTAGGTACCTATAGCCAAAGACGTTGAAAAACAGGTAGACACAGACAGTCAGTTTAAGTGTGGGCTCACCATGCTTCTGCACGAACGGGCCAGCTCGACCGGAGTGATACCATGGCCTCACTAAAAATCAATGTGAAGCAATGCTTCCGTTGTGTTTCGTCGTGTTAGTGAGTTACCGGAGGCCGAATGAACCCCCCCCCCCCCTTCCTCAATCTCCCCAATCCCCGAATTCCCAACAATCCTCAAACTCCTAATCCCCAAAAGGCCGGTAACGCACTTGTAACGCCTCTGGTGTCCCAAGTGTTCATGGGTGACGCCGTTTGCTGACCATCGGGTGATCCGTCTGCTCGTTTACCGGCTTATGCCATAAAAAAAGTCACTTGAAACAACGACTGTGGTACCTGGTTACTATAGACTTACACGCAGAGCACACACATGGACACGAAGGACATTTGTCATATTCTTAAGTCTGGTAACGTGGTAACCCATTACACACGCACACATAAATAGCCCACTGACATTTTGGTGCTTTAATCATTTCTATGTGACATTACGTCCGGGTTATTATCAAAGTCTTTGCTTATAGCTAAGTAATTATCAAAATCTTCATCGCCCTTTGTTTTAAGGTCATCAACTGGCATCTTTCATTAAGTTGATTGATGAGTCGACGCGAGCCATTAGTTCTATCGATTGATGACTACATCATTGTCAACAAACAGTATAGCTTTTGATTTATGGGGATGATAATAGTCTAAACAGATAAATAAAATGAGAGTGTCTGTTTGCAACATTGAAATAACAGCTTTTTACTTACTACATGTATATGATTATCGTCTTTCTGTCTGTCTGTTTGTAAAGCTTTGAAATGGCTGAACCGATTTTGACAGGACTTTTGTTAGCAGGTAGCTAATTTTCTAAAGAGTAACATAGGCTACTTTTATTTCAGGTAAACGCAGACGGAGTTGTTTGCTAACTTTATTAACTCAGACTTCTTTCTACTGGTCTTTCCAATTAGTTGTTAGGGTAATTGATAAGATGTTAATTTGAACTATTGAAATGAGCTCGATCGCTTTCTCGCCCGTCATTGGTCGAGATTATTCCACAACTTATGACATGGCAGACCGCGATCGACCTAACTTCGAGGGTTGAAATTGACATCTTACAGAATAGCCTATCAGCACTGAGTTTTACCTAGATTTGTCACCACGAGTGTTCGCAAGTGCGACTGCCGGGCAAGGGGTCTCAGGTTCGATTCGGCAAATTATTACTGGGTTTAAAAAAAAATCTCAGTAGTCGCATGGAGTCTGGAATTGTGCCCGGTATATGGCAATAGGCTCACCCCCTATTAAATGGGACTCGTAACATAAATAGTGAAAACTCGGTGTTATATTGTTCAGTGTAATAATGTGCACCTCTGCCTACCTCTTCTGGGATAGAAGGCGTGATGTTATGTTATGTTGTTTCCACGTAAAATACTCACAATTTTACGTGAAGCAAAGGTACTGCTAGTTGTAATCTACTACCCTATAACTACCTAAGGGTGATTTCGTTATTTTGGGTAGTTTGATGTCTGAAGTCCATGCTTTCGATATTATATTTTTGCTAACAAACAAATTACAGTACCTAATACCTAGTAGGTACTTGAAACTCTATGCCAACCTACAATAAATATCATATTTCATTGCCATTTATATCTAGATTCTCGCAGTCATACAGGAAATTATAGTCTGGACTGATCTACTATACTGCCATCTATTCATTCCATTCGTACATTGCTGGAATCCTAAAGATTAATGAACTCAATTTGGGAGCACAATTAAGGAAAAATAGCGCTATATATGGACCTACATTTTCTCTCGAAACACTAAATAAGACTAATTTGGGTCTCGTACGTCGAAACTCCTTTTACGGAAGGTTGCAGAACCAAATGTGTGTGTGTGTGTGGGTGCGTAATATATGTGGTGCTCACTAATATTATTTAGCTGTATTTGGTGTTCGTTTATGTGTGTATTTTTTTGGTAACTAATAACAAGGTACATTGTGGTATTTGCAATTTATTTATTAACACGTTAAATGCCTTTTAATGCCAATGACTTGGTGACCAGCGTTAGCAGAGAATCTACCTTCAACAGTTGCTACCGGCAAAAGTGATTGGATAACGGTTCTTCTAATTCATGCTACGATTAAAAATAACAAAGAAATTCATAACTTCAATGAGACTGACAAACAATAAATGAACGAAGTTGCGAGAAGACACTAAATTATATTACAGTAACTACAGGGGTAGCTTGTGTAATATGGCTTGGTGTTTTATAACAAATATCACGAGACATATTTAATTAACAAAAATAGCGAGTTATTAACGTAAACATACTGAGAAAAGCTCTACTAGTTTCGAACCACAGAGGAGTTCTTCCTCATGAGCAGTGTGCGCGTGAATTCTAGTTAATGGCTTGGTGTGATAGATTTTTGTCTTTATCACTCTCTAGTAAAGTCGAAAAGAAATTCTGTGGTTCAAGGTATAACGTGTTATGCTGACGTCTTAATACTAGACTTTGAACCATGTTTATTTACGTTTCTCTAAAACGTTTCTGAGGCTGAAGACCTATTGTGAGCTTGTCTTTCTCACAAATTATTAGCAAACACTTTAAAGTGGTTGTTTATAAGTTCTTGTCAATTTATCACAAAACTAAGCATTCAATCAGCTATATTGATATGTTACTTTGTTCCTTGAAACGATTTGAAAGGTTTGGGTGTTTAGAAAAAATAAAATGATCGTTTTAAAACTAAAGTATTTTAACTTTTGTGGAAAATATCTTATCAATGTCTGAAATCTTGTAAAACCCTTTCAAATACGGCGGAAAGGTGAAATTTTCATCGTCAAATACCTTCAAAATTATTGAGCTGATTTTTAATTTTATCAAATGCCTTAGAGTTTTGAAGACAATCAGAATGCCATTTATTTTGCTCGAAAAGACAATAAAGTACATTGATTTATTAAACCAAATAGATAAAACCGCTAGGAACTAGGCTATCGGTTGCACAGAACCAAACTATGTAGGTATGTTAGAAATCAGAGAAAGCCTACTCTCATTTTCAGCAACTGATGATGCTACACTATATTGATTATTATGTGGTATTTATTGGTCGCAAAAATGAATGTCCTATTGAATTTCACAAAACAAGATTTTTTAAAACTATAAAAATTCGCGCGTCGTTACTATTTATTACTTAACTAATAGAATATAGTGAAAATCCACAACAGTACTTCATTAAGCAAACCATAATAATTGGGGATAATTGTCAGTGGGTCCTCATATCATTTAGGAGAAACAGTACCCAGCTTCCTAGTCAGGTAAAGGGTTACTAACATCTGCGCAATTGATTTTCGGATCTCATACCAACCGGGATTCCGTAGTCTTTTCAGGGGAAAAGACCAGAGAAGACTTTGTTTTATTGTGTTCATAATTTAAATGATGTTTCTTTTCCAGTATTTACTGAAGAACACGAGGCTAAGTGACGTGAACAAGCGGTTGAAGGCGCAAATATGGAGCTCTGTAGTCACCATCGTACTGGTTGAAGCTAAGAATCTTCCTGCAATGGATTTAGATACTAGATCCAGCGACCCTTATTGTAAATTTAGGTAAGTAGGTATCTATAGGTTCTTTGTCAAAATTATCGTGAGACATGCCTACTGAATTAGATAATTACGATAGCAACTTGCTCATTTGAATTATTTGACAATAACTTCACATCTTACCGGGACTGTTATTCGACAGAAGCGTGAGTGGCGACTGTTATTCGACAGAAGCGTGAGTGGCGTGCTGGCATCTCACACAGCCAACTAGTAAATTTTTTCTCGAATAGTTCACGTGAATAAGCCGTAATATTAAAAAGTAAACAAACATATATTCAAAACAGCTACAAAATACTTTTCAATGCAACAAACAAAGATGTTTACACCACTTGAAGAATACGCAGACATCGACCGACGCTGGTCTGCGATGCAATTTAAAACTTCAATCTTGTCTTACGATTTTCGCAATAGAACATCGAACCATTAATTCATGTCATAATGTTTATTTAAGTTTTAAATCTGTTGGTAAAAATTCCACGAAATTATGTAGACCACTTACTTATGTTAAACAACAAAGAATACAAGGAATAGATTATACTTTTTGATATCCGTAAGTAAAACATATTTTGATGGTTCATGTGAAAAAATTCAGAGGTATATGCTGATTAGTTTACCTTAACTTGTCAATTTTCCATTTATCCTTCACTAACGACCCGCTCCGACTTCGCACGGGTGCAATGCTTATGTAAATATACCTACTACAGAATGTCTTCATACACAACGTTCACAGCTTTTTTGTCATTAGACAATTAAGGTGGACTATACTGTAGTAAATATTTTTGGTCTATATCATAGGGTTTAGCCAGTGTTTGCAATATAAGCGCAATATCGACATCACATTATATACATGTATTATACATATAAACCTTTCTTAAGAAACATACTATCTTTTTAAAAAAGCCGCATCAAAATCCGTTACGTCGTTTTAAAAATTTAAGCATAGGTAGGTACATAGGAACAGACAGACGGCGGATAGCGACTTTGTTTTACACTATGTACTGATTCTGTGGCTTAAACCAAAGATCCACTAGGGCACAAAATATGTCCTGTGACACGTGTCGCCAGCAACTCTGGGTAAGGTACCACGACGTTGCCAGACTTCGCCCAATATGTCTGGCAACATAGCGCGACACAGGTCTCTTCCTCGCGCGTTGTCACCATATTTGTCAGGCGAAGTCGGCAGGCTTCGCTTGACATGTCACCGATACACATGTCGTGGAATATTTATCCCTTACGTCCAGTTTCAATAACCTATCTATCTGTAGATTTATCTGTAAGGTTATTGAAACTGGACGTTAGTCTATCCTTGGCTTTGAAGAGAAAGCATGTGCTAACTGTAGAAAATACCAATCAACCAATGCCAGAGAATCTATTTATACCTACATGTGCATCTTTGTCGGAATCCATCTTAATCGTAGTTTCGATCTAAACAATTATTTATCTTCCAGGTTAGGTAACGAAAAATATAAAAGTAAGGTAGTTTGGAAGTCTTTACATCCATCGTGGTTGGAGCAGTTTGACCTGCACTTGTATGATGACCAGGAGCAAATTCTAGAAGTCACAGTCTGGGACAAGGATAAGCAGTCTAAAGATGATTTTATTGGCAGGTGAGTTGATATAATACCATCTATATGTAATTATGTAGTTTTGTCGTGGTGGCTCAGAGGTTTAAGACGCCTGCTTCTCATGCATGAGGGTGCGGGTTCGAAACCCACTAACGGCAAGTACCAATGTGATTTTTTCCGAGTTATATGTACTTTCTAAGATTATTTAAACACCACCGACAAGCGGTGAAGGAAAAACATCGTGAGGAAACCTCGGCTTATAATTTCTAATTATAAGTTTGAAATCGCCAACCCGCATTGAGCAAGCGTGGTGATTAATGCTCCAACCTTCTCCGTGTGAGAAGAGAATTTGCTCAGCAGTGGGCATTTATAGGCTGTTGATGATGATGTATATGTAGGTTACATCTTTAAGATGTTAAAGACAGTAACAAAATAACTAAGAAATAAGGCAGAAAGAACGCTTATACGTCTTAGCGCAGTAAGTATCCCATCCAAGCTGAAATGCTGATTAGGTCTGTGGCTTAATCAAATCCTTAAACTTATAAACGTTGATAAAATCCGCATCCAGGTCCCAATTTCTGTGGATCAGTCGTCTCAATTTCAGGAATTAAGACGCATAGTAAAGATACCGAGTGATTTTTTAAATTAGTAGATAGTTACGCCTCTTTTGTCGGAATACTCAAACGCTACTCAATTTTAAGACGCGCTTAACTATAGTTCTGTCTCAACAAATTCTTTGTAAAATGACAGAGATGGCAAGATATTTAAGCACGACTTAAAATTGAGTAACGTTTCAGTATTCCGGCATTTGTGATGTTTCTAAAAATATTCTTTTGTTGAATATTTTTCTGTACTAGTCCCATAGAAACTGGCCGCCTGCCAAATGCCGTGATCAATAAGAAGTACCTCCTCTATAAGTTTACACTTCCTGATTTTATGTAACACATAAGAATAACAATATTCCCTTTTGGGTCACTCTAGAGCCGTACGAAGAAAAACAAACAAGTTATTTTTCCATCCATCAGAACATCTTCATAGGATTTTGAACTCAACCTTGAAGGTCAGAAAGTGGACATTGCTTTAATTCCTTGTCTTACCTGAACACAGTCATAAAGAGCAAATTGCTCATCACATTCGAAGCTGTAACACAAATTGCATTACTTAACAACCTTTACAATGGTGGACCATTAGGACTAAAGCCGTTATAGTGTCTCGAAGGGAACGTAATAGGGGTACGCTACGATGCACCCTCTACAATAAAAAGTTTATAGTGTATAAAGGAAAACGTCTAGTATTGTATAAGGTAGTACAACTTCTAATCGAGCCCTCAGAAGGCTTTGTAAACTAATAGGTTCTCGGGGGCGATGATTCCAAAGTCACTCCCCGACACTTTATACCTGGTACACACTCAGGCAGAGAAGGAATCCATTAAGAACCAGGGATACGGGTCGACTGTGGGATCACGCGTGCTCACGATACACGAGGCACAGGGACTTTCGTGTGCGAATATGATTGTTGTCAACACAGCAACAAAGAAACATCAAATACATGACAGCGTACCACACGCGGTAGTAGCAATATCGCGTCACACGTATGGTTGCATCTATTACACAGACAACAGTGAAGACGCGATAAGCAAACTAATCAGGAAGGCGGCTGATGAGGGTGAGCAAGGTATTAAGGACTACAACCTGAAAATGGCTATCAGACACAGGGACGCGGCAGTCATGGGTGCTCTCTTGGGCGGGGAGTGTTGCTTGTGATGGAACGAATGCAACATGAGGAAATGTGTGTGCAGAAACATGTAGAAATAGAATATGACCAATTGACTTTGGACTATGGCTTTATTGGAATCGGCCCATGTGGCAGGGGTTGAGGCGTCATGCACACATAAATGTCCTACAGTCGGTGGCGCTGTGTGTTGGGTTGTTCCGTTCCCAATAAAAAGGTTGACCGGACCAATTGCTGACACACACGTCATACTCGTGAACGGGTGCCTTCTGCTGGGTCAGGTCGGCTCTCCCATCTTGTTGGTGGGCTGGTTTCATAAAGCCTTTGAAATAGAAATAAATAAATAGTGCCTAATTATTATGTAACCTATACTTTTGCTAATAATTATAGATGTAGTTAATTGTAGTATGTAACTAGGTTCCCTCTTTACTTTATAAAAATTGACTAGATGTATTATAATTAAAAAACTGTATGACAAGGGCACGGACCTAGAGTCCGTGGAGAAATAATCTATAATATTAAAAAAAAAAAAAAAAATGCTAATAGGTAGGTATTTATCCAAGGGGGCTCCGGAGCAGGTCTCTTCAGAGGACCCGGTGCCCCTTACAGGTGCTGAAGGTGGGCACCGGGGTGGTTTTAATGAGGTACAAATACCACACTCCCTAGTATTTCTCCTCAAAAAGCTAGGCGCCGAAGGTTTCCACCCGTCATCAAAAAAAAGGTATTTCTCCAAATCGAAGTTCAAACCTGAATCTGTTTTAGAAAAGTTGTTAGGCAAAAGTTTAAGATTTTCAAAGTCGACAGATAGTCGAAGCGAGTACGCGTTAGGCGCTCCTGATTGGCTGGCTGAAAAAAACCAACCTCAGTTGTCTTCTGTTGGTCTTCTATTTCATAAAACATCAATAAGATATTAAGATAGCCAAGTAAAAAATTTTACAGAAAACTAAATGAGTCTCAATGTAGCTGTTACAGTACACCTAAATAACCCAATCTACCCACTCAAAACTATGACCTGAATACTATGTAGGTGGACCTACGATATTTGATTTAGCAAGTAATCCAAAACAAAATATATCTACCTAATATGAACCCAAAATGCTACCAGAGAAAGTAGATAATTAATTACAAGAGCAAATTGTATAGTGTTACCTTATTTAATTAATGTTATGAGCAATTTAGATTTGGGTCGACGGGTTTATTTTGTATAGGCCAATGAACTCGTGGGGGCTAAATTGGCTAATGACAATAACAGTGCTAATTTTCACGACAGTGTTAATTTTTATGTACCATATGGTCATTTGCAATCACACGTTACATAATAATTAGGTCGTTTAGATATCATCGTCAATATCAACAGCCTATGACATACCTTTGCTGGACTATAATAAACCTCCTATATAAAAAAGTTTTGTATACGTCCATAGGTACTTAACAGGTGGATGATGACGCTGGAGATCGCAGTACATCATCTGGTTTTTCAAAGATTTTTTTAAAAAACGTTGCCCCACACTATGATTGTCTCCAGTGTCGTGGGTGCGTTTATAAACATACAAATTCACATACACATAACACCCAGACCCGAAACAACATTTTGTGGATCACACAAAGAGTTGCTCTGTGCTGTCGGAAGCGAAGCCGCGACACGTTGCGCGGCAGCCGGTAGCCAAGCCATCGCACCAACCGTGCAGTCTGTTAAGGTTAACCAAATGCTGCCATTGAGTCTCTGATAAAGTTATGAGTCTTTATTAAAATTTTAAATTCAGAACAACCTAATGGATTACCGGGGCTCCAGATCAAAGCCACTCCAGGCTTTTATTTTGTAAGAGGGAGAGAGTTCGTTTTAGTTAGTAAGAGGGGTCTGACACTCCCTCTCGTCTCACCCAAGAGGTGGACGTCATTGTATGATTCCCCTTAAAAAAAGAACTTGACCATAACCCTCACATTCGTCGGCACAACGCAGATAGTAATTTTAAATTTGTTCACAGGTGTGCAATAGACTTATCTAGATTAGAAAGAGAGAAAACGCACAACATATGGAAGGATCTAGAAGATGGGAACGGACAAATATTTTTGTTGCTGACCATCAGTGGCACCACACAGTCGGAAACCATTACAGACCTCAGCAGTTATAAGGAGAACCCAAGAGATAGGGAAATTGTTGAAAGGCGATATGTAAGTGGTTTAATTTTTTAGTGAAATGGCTTATACCAGAGTAGTTTTGTTTCTTTCAGTATGTAAAACATCTCTCAAACCGACCCCCTGATGGTCAACTTTAACTGTGTGAATATCATTAAGACGGCAATCAGTCTAGTCTAAGTTCTGGTCCCAATTTAGTGTAAGCTGATGCAAATTAATAATCTCACTTTAAATAAAAACATTGAGTTATCGACTGCTTCATGTTTAAAATTGCATTAAAAATATTGAAATCCTTATTTCACAGATGTGGTACAATCTAAATGAACAATCAAGTGGAGTTGGCTGGCTCTGTGTCAAAGTATATGGAGCTAAAGGGCTAGCAGCTGCAGATTTAGGGGGTAAATCTGACCCCTTCTGTGTGTTAGAACTAGGGAACGCAAGGCTACAGACACATACGGAGTACAAGACGCTGACACCGAACTGGATGAAGATATTCACTTTGTAAGTAGATTTAAAAACAATTTTAAAGTGTGTAACACTTTATTGAATATGTATGGAATGTGAACAGGTCGTGAATGTGGACTCCTATTTTGGCTTGAAACCAGTCGAGTGATATCCTCAAACAGTTGCGTGAGTAACATGTACACATCCATCAAAGTCTCGTAACCGAAAAATGTTTCACTGCTATGAGTTCCATGTTCTTTTCATTATTTTGATTCATTTGGAACATTTTCCCAATCAATAACATCAAGAATAACTTGCCTCGGTTACTTTCTTTAGAAACTTAAACGAAGATCTCAAGGAGTTCTTAAAGTTTATACAAAGTTCCAGAAAGATCCTTTCAGTAAGCATTGTGTGCTTGTGTGAGTACAACGAAATATGTAGCATTCTCTTGTATTCAAGACATGTATTGCAACATCTGTGCTGAACTAAATTACGTCAGTCTGCAGTTTGAAGTTGTTACCTATTCTATACAGTTTTAGACAACGAACATATTGTACGTAAATCAAGAATCAAATAAGGTCAATCGATTTACATCAAGTGGAACTTTTGTAGTTATGTATGAAAGTCGTTAAGGCTCGGCAGATGCCCAAAGCATTTGACAATACTCACAACCAAGGTTAAGGTTCTATTATAAAATTAGCATTATGTTCTACGAAATCTTCTAAGGACTAAATGGTATGGTAGACTCAGTTAGGAAAGGGCTAAAAGGTTCGGTGAGTGTGCGGAGGAATTGCATAACTTGATACCCCCTAGTCTTTTCCATCATCGTACCACAAGATGACCTATTATGAACGGGCGAGGTGTCACCGATTCATAGTAATTCACACACGCACGAAGTGCTTCGCATCAAGCTTCCTTGTGCGTATTGTTAAGGAGTGGAAGTTTTGCTCGGATCTGTGTTTGTCTGAATGTCTTCAAGGCCCTAGTTAATAGGTTGCTTATATGGTCAGACGTGCTGCATCGTAGGCCGCATCGTTGCTTATCACCAGGCGCGAGAGTGGCCAAACGTCGGCCAAAAAATATATAAAAAAAAATCGGCAACGAAACTAACGAAAAATTGTCTGGACTCCTCATTTACCTCATAATTATTTATCACTCCTCAGTACAGTGAAGGACATCACATCAATATTGGAGATAACAGTATACGATGAAGACCACGATCATAAAGTGGAGTTCCTCGGGAAACTGGCTGTTCCACTGCTGAATATAAGAAACGGGGAGAAGCGATGGTACGCCTTGAAGGACAAGAAGATGAGAGCGCGTGCGAAGGGGAACTTTCCGCAGATATTGTTGGAGATGCTGGTCATATGGAATCCGGTCAGTTATTGCGATACTTTCTTATTTAAATGCTTATTTTTCTGTAAGAAATCAATACCCAAAGTGAACTAGAAGACACTCTACAAATATTTTTCAAGTCTAATTGATAGTCATAAATAGTAATAAAATCATAATCAAAACTTATTATCTTCCTGCATGAACTTTAAAGATTTAATAGAGTTTATTTGACTCTGAATACACGAAGTTTCTCGATATATGCCTTGTTTAATAACAAATAAAAGAGGCAAATAAAATGTGGTTTATATAAAACCTACAAATAACTAAACAAAGATACAAACTCAGTACTAGAATAAACATATGCAAAACAAACAAACACAATAATGAAGAAGCAACAATTAATATTGTTACAGTTGAAGGCAGCGATAAGGGCGGTGAACCCGAAGGAACCAAAATACATGCATCAGGAGGCCAAGTTCAAGAGACAACTGTTTATACGAAACGTAATGAGACTGAAAGCTATCATCATGTGGTTTATTGAAGTTGGGAAGATTTTACAGTAAGTACTAATCTAGGATTCGTTGTTCGATAACATTTAGATGGAAATGATAAAGACTATTATAAAGAAAATCGTAATAAAATCTTTAGTGTAGTACCTAAATTGAAACTCATACTCAGATTTTAAAGCGTGGATAACCAAAACAATTTCTGTAATAGAATTGACGTTAATTTGGTCTATGATACTATGATCAATGGTAAAGACCAATGGTAAACAATTATCTGAACTACAATTATAGCCGCAATACTTACCCTTCTATTTAAATTCTTCATAGCTTGCGTGAACGAAAGTCTCCTTTCATTCCTTACAAATTCATGATATCAACTGATGATATATTCATTCGAAGAACAAAGATGAACCTTGTCTTTTTTCTTTCAGAGACTGTTTTGAATGGGAATCGAGGATACGTTCATTTTTAGGCCTGTTACTATGGCTCGCCTTCTGTTATTACTATGAGATGTGGATGCTGCCTCTACTGATGCTAATGTTCTTCGGCAGAGCTTGGCTTATTTATAGACTTACTGGTACGTATTGTTATTTCTTTAACCCTTTGAAATTCTTAGTACATTATTTTTTTTACTTTTTGAATTATTGATGCTATTTCTTTTTTACCTTATCCCGTTGCTATGCAGATCTGTCCATTTATTAATGCAAAATTTATTTATCCGTTCTTCTCTCTCGAATTTTGTTTTCATCTTTTCTTCTTCTATCTTAATTGAAATTAATTTCTTATTTTTATCGCAGTCTCTATCACATCTGCTTTTAATTATGTATTTGTCTCTTTACGTTATTTTTATTTTTTTGGACTCTGTTCATGAGATTCGTTGTTTAGTAACTTTTATTTAATTTTTAGTTAAAGTCAAATACTTCCTGAAATGTTTACGAAGTGATCCGTGGGCTTATTTTAAATATTTATTTCTTAGTAAGTCTGGATGTTGTATGTTACGTCTCTCTGTATGTTTGTTTGTTGTTTGTATCTATTCCAGCTGCGTATTTACCTGTTCGCAATCGTATGTGATAAGTTTTGTGCCTTCTCTATCTAACCAAAATAGGTAGATTACATATAATATGCTTATCCATTATGTTTAACCTTTTCACTAATTTTGTTATAACTTTCACAATTTAGGAATCTGCAACCAATAATAATAATGAAATTAAAGTTCCAAATAAAACGAAGATGTCTTAACATGAATTATTAAAGTCTCTGTTGCTTTGACTGGTGTCTGTGTGTCTCAACTGCCGCTAGACAAAATGCCATTTAACATACGTTGAAATTGGATATTCTATTAGAACGTACACACGGCTACACATCGAACTTTACATAACCAGTATAAACTGAACGTTAAATGTGCGGAACGGAAATGCGATGCAACACCAGGATAAACTGGTTTTGTACAGATTGATGTGTGACCGTGTGTACCTAGACGAATTTAGTTTACTGTCGAATAGCCCGCCTGCTATTCTTTTTAGGCCGATCAGACTAAGTACCCGAAATTATTTTATCAAAACTTAATGTCAATCCCATGCAATAACTTTTGTTGTCACTCGTTCGACTAGCGTATAAATGGCGTTTGTCTAGGGACCCTGACCTGTTAACGTATCCACTTCGCACATTCTTATTTAATAAGTACTCCTCTTGTAACTACAGGAGGTAATCCCCTACTGGTGCCAGTTGATGATGAAGATCTTTTAGCTGAAGAAGATGATGAAGACGAAGCAGATAAGGTACCTACTGTTAAAATGTATATTTCAAATCTAGTGGATAACTACTGTTTTGAGCCGTTTGGGGTCTAAACACTTGGGCCATGGGGTCCTAGTGCACACTTTGTGTTTAAAGATATCGCCCGTAGGCTAATCGACTCTACACGTGACCAAAGGGCTGGCTATTTCTTCGGTAGAAAATAAGCATTGCCATTCAACGTGGCAATGCTACCAGTCTTCTGGGAACGTTCCCCTGTGATAGTGATGCGGACGAATACTTTGACGCCTAAATTAAGGGTATAATTTTTGTTGTTGTCTTTTTTTTACTTTCGTTTTATTTAATAGTTTACTTGTAGTTAATTTTAAGTTGTAAATATGTATGTAGTTATATAAATTATGTTATATCTTTAAATAACTTACATTAAAGCCAAAATTACTTCTTATTCTTAAGATTACTGACAATCGTTCTGTTACTTTCTCAGGAGGAGAAGAAATCTCTGAAAGAGAGACTGCAAGCGATTCAAGAAGTGACGCAAACTGTACAAAATGCTATCGGTTATGTCGCCGCCCTAGGAGAAGCGGTTAAGAAGTGAGATAATAAAATATTTCTATCTACACTGTATTAGACTGTTAAGAAAAGAACTAGAAATAATACATCTGTTTTTTTTATTCTTTGACGGTTTCATGTAATGAGATTTTTATGAAATATATCTTGAACAAATTATTTGGATCATTTTTAAAAAGTTAAGCTGAAGTCTCTAGAATGTTATTTTTAATTTAAAACCTAATGTAATGTTGCAAAAACATGTAACTGCAACTAACCAAAATATTTTTAATTTTCAGCTTGACGAACTTCACAGTGCCATATCTAAGTTATTTAGCAATAATAATGTTATTAGGAGCTATGATCGTGTTATACGTCATACCTTTGAGGTATCTACTTATGGCGTGGGGTGAGTTCCATTTCCCATTATTTTGTTTAAAATATTATCTCTGACAACATTATTTATTAAGTTTACCGGAAGCGTCAATTTGTAGATGGCGCTAGTTTCTGAAACCACTTCTAAATAACAAAAAATATATTTCATACCTAAAGAATTAATTTACCTTGCAAAATGACTGCAATAAATAATTTTCTGACATACGACAGCCAGTCTACCAGTCTTAGTAAGTCAACAAATAAATATGGTAGCGTAGATCAGGAAAAACAGTAGCAAATATTGCCGTTCCTGAGTCGCTCATACACTCCAAATCCACGAGTAGGTACAGGACCATAAATACTTACGTGTTATTAATTTCCAGGTATAAATAAGTTTACAAGGAAAATCCTTCGACCACACACGATACCCAATAATGAAGTGCTAGACCTACTATCGAGGGTGCCAGATGATGAAACTTTGGTGGGTTAACTACTAAACTTTATTAGATAACCAACACTATATAACTTATTTTAAGGCTGTAAATAGACTGAAGTCTTAAAGTACCTTTAGTTAGTCAAAACATAACATGATATGGACTTCAACCCTGAGTACCAATCCAACGAATTCAATGAACAATCTTAAACACGCCAGGGGGCTTACTCTTGAATCCAATTCCGATCGATCGACATTGGTATTGTGTAATTTCGTACTCTTGATTTGCGACACTAGCGCCCATTGTATCCGTATTGCGTGGATATTTAATAAACTAAATGGTATTGAGTATGGCTTTACATTCCGTTCTCTGAATGCTATTGTAACAGCTACGATAAGGGTTGTATAGTTTTGACATTGAATAATTATTGAGATTTTATTGGATTTAAATTGCATTGACATTGGTTTCAAGAGTAAGCACCTAGGATTTAAATTGTTTCCATGGTTGATGAGACCCCTACCTCTAATTACCTACCTTTAAATTACAGTTGGACTGCCGAGAACTAAAACCACACCCAGCGAACGAACACCGACGAGACGCAAGAAAGAAGCACAAACCTTCGTAACACAGTCCGAAGGCGATCCGCAAACGGGTCCGACATTACGTAAGGAATCTCGGCAATAAGTATAATACATAGATCTAGCTAGATAGACTAGGAACTCTAGGAGATTACTGGGAAACTGCTGGTCAGTGTCAGGTTTAGAATGAGAATCTTTACTTTCCTACATACTTGTAGACTGCATTTTATTAACATTGTGTAGGTAAAACAGTATAGCAAAATTGCTTTTGTGCCCTCTAGGTGGCACTTCTGTCGACTAAGAATCCGTCAGTCTCACTGCTGATGTATCGTCCGTCAACCTTGTTCGGTGATTTTAGTCACTTGACGTCCTGAAAATAGACAGTAAAGTACTTTTGAAAACAGAACAAAATAATTGGTTTTTTATTCCTTTTTATCTACACAGTGTTCTTATAATGTAAGATTTCTTTTGATACTTAAGGTGGCCAAAATATACATTGTAACAGGTGCTGTTACAAAAATTGGTGAACCGCATACGTAATATTAAGATCTTTGCAAGCTAGGAACGGAGAATATTCAAAATTAAGTATGGCTGTGAGAAAAATGAGTCAATTTGTATGTGGAATATAATTTTTGTATTAGCACCTTTACAATTTGCGAACTATGAGAGTAAGTGTAGGGGACTGTATGAAAATATCTTAGCCTCTATTTGAGGGATAAGCAATAAATACTTATTGTCGAGATTAAATTAAATGTCGAAATTAAGAATGTAGAACTAGACAAAAATTTAGAATTGGAAGTTTTTAATAAATAATTGGCAACACAAAAGGCAGCCAAGCTGTATTGTTACGTTTAAATGTGTTGCCAATTAAAATGTATTGTTACCCTAATTTCCTTTATAATTTGCTTCTCAGTTTTTATATATCCGATTTGTAAATAAATACCAAACACAATCATTTGAACAAAATATTATTTTAGGAAAAGTCTGTGATTTTTTATGATCTGTTGTAATGGCAAATGTTAATGTTGTTTTCTATTTAAATAATAATAACTATGACACCAAATATTGTGAGTTTGTAAGCAATGTTTATTATATAATGCGAACAGCAATATAATAATTATAATTAAGTAAAATAAATGTTTCTTCCATTGTTTTCCAATTAATATTCTTAGCTAGAACATGCTAGTTGAAATCTATTTGAATGTTTGTTGTGTACAAGACAAGCAAAGTTACAAATTGATTGTTAAATATTTGAACTACACGCCTATCAATTTTGATAACAATTAGTTTAGGTATTGAAGGAATCAAGGACGTTGAAAAAGGCGGACTTAGATTTGATTGAAGCACTTATATGTCAGAGGGTTATTTACGTGTGCGTGTCTAATGGGTTACCCAAAGAGTATAATAAGTGGGGTTACCTACCAGTTACCAGACTTATGAAAATGACAGAAGTTGTTCGTCATTTTCACTAGATGGCACAGCCGTTGTTTCAAAAGACTGTGTCAACCTTTTTTTCAACGACCTTGGACCTAATTTAGTAGAAATTGAGATACCTGTGTGTTGGCAACAGTAATTAATTAACTATTTAAGTTATGTATTTCCCAACGAACGACATTGTAGAGTATAACGAATTATGTCTTCAGAATAAACAGAAATAAAAATTCTTTCATTAAAATAGAGAAAACAATATAAGACACTGGCGTGTATGTTCAAATACATAACGGAATTTGCGAAATGAACATATTGATGTAAATACATAACTGGAGCAACCACTGCGTCACAATAACGATTTTATTCGAAAATATGCTCCAAAATTCCTCATTAGACGTTGCATTTAAGTCCCAAATTGTATAAAAACCAATAGATTATTATATTAAACACGTAGATAGGATTTTTTAATGATGCCATTTTTGTAAGAGATGTTACATTGTTGTGTTTAATGATAATATTTTAAAAACATGAGAACAAGAACATTATAGTATAGTTCATTCCTCTTCACACCACGAATATAATATTTATAGCATAAGACTGAGACCAATCTCATAAATTACTTGAGAGGATAGTAAAACCATGTTTGTACTTTTATTCTAGTAGATTTGTCTGTGTAACTATATGGATTCTATATTGTATTTCAGCTTTACTTCAGCTGGTTTCTCATTCCAATTTAACTAAATCTAGTTTAGTGTTAAGAACGGTATATACATTTCCAGTCTTTAGAACCGAGTTATTTTTGTCATTTCTTAGAAAGATTGGTTGACTGTATTGCTATATATTTTGTATTGCTAGTGAATATCAAGTCTATGTTAACCAACTCTATCGAAGCACTGGCCGTTGACGTCTACATAATAATTTAAATTAATTTGACAGTTCGAAATGTTAAGTTTTAACGATGCTAACGTTAACTAAGGACTGGAAATGCGTGGATGAGCCTCTAGAATATCACCCACTACTACTTAATTCTCTTCTTGATGTCTTCAACCGTGTCACATTGTGAATGTCTAAATGATTTAAGTATTTGTCTTGAAGTTCTCGCACAATCATGCACAAAAATTGTCTCTTTCAAATAAAAATCTGTGATGTCTTCGATCCTAGTTAGTTTTCAAATCTTGCCAACAGTAACTTATTATAGTTTGTTACAAGAGTCACCTAGACTTGGGTTAATGTAATGTGCAAAATATGTGCGAGGCAAAATTATTAACCATTGAAAGCTTAAAACGCTTTCCTTTTCTATTTAGCTGTACTTGTATCTTGTATGTGACCTTGGTTAAAACTACTTAAAGTAACTCCATCTAAGTAGGTACTTGGTATTTGTTTTGAGTAAATTAAATACATACTATATAAGAAAATGATAATAAAATTATCAAACAAGCCTTTGTACCCAACATAATCATAGTTAATGATAGAATTTCTACAAAGGGCAGATCTATAAATGTATTAATTTCTTTATGTAAATTATCTTCTTGTGCGATTAAACCCTAACCAAATGGCCATGACATTATTTTAAAATTGGCAATAATTATTTTGTTAATTACTTCATAGATACGATCGCATTAATAAAATACTTGGACTTTTACCAACTAATTAAAGAGACAATTATTTTTAAACTAGTCATTCGCTTTTTCAAGACTATGTTCCTGATTTTTACGTTGAAATTACGATGTTAGTACGCAAGTATGTACCTATCTGAGTGTAAAGTATGGGCTATGAATACGAGAGACATCGGTTGCTAAGTCAGTTTATAGATTCGTAACTCTATAAGTAACGAATAGGGTTGAAAATATAGAAAAAGAGACCAAACTTCTATCGTAATCAACGTTGAGATTCAATTAGCTAGCCAGCCCAATCACTCAATGGCGTAGAACAACGCACTTCAGTTATTAGAATTTCTGATAAATGTGCTGTTAATTTTCTTTTACTAGCTTTTTATCTGTAGTACTGTCTTCGCTACTAGCCTCGTATTCAACGAGCCTTAGATTTTAAGATTAATTTTAAGATTCTTGCACAGCCTGCACAGATCTCTATGGTACAATGCACTAAGCACATGTCATTAACTTACCTAAATATATTTTATATACCAGTGTATTTGTGATATACAATAATAATATTCTTGTTACAAATATAATTATTATTATTGCGTTGTTGCTAATCTGTCCTCGGTATTTAAGGGTGGCCAAGCTACCGAAACGATGTACAATTCGTAGTACCTACCTATCTATTTAAACAATTTTATTCAAAGGGTAAAGAGCCGTTCAATCACGACGACCCATTTGAATGAATGTCTAGTTGTTGTCATTTAAAATTACAAATTTTTGTTGATTGAAATACAGATTGTATTTTTATTACTTGTGATTGATCACTTCTCAGCCCTTTTCTCTTTCTACAGGTAGCAAAAGAGATTGAAATGTAGGCAACTATTGCAAGATGAAAATTCATCAATCTAAAAATTAAATGCGACAGCTATACTTGAATAATTAAAATAAGACAACTTATGATGGTGGCCTCCACAGCGACCTCTTCTGCTAACTAATCTTATAATCTTTTTTAAACTTCTTACTTAGATGTGAATTCGGATAATAAAGTTACGAAGAAGAAAAATAACATACCTGTTTGAGTACCAAATAAATTACTTACTGGTCCTTGGCAAACTCCGCTGTCTTCAATCCAACAGAAATCAAAATGTATGCTTAAAATAGCTTACCAAGTTACCTATTACCTCCTGTCCATTTCAATATATCAAATATGATATTTTTATGAAGCACAAATATAATCATGTTAACGCTTTCATATTTTAACGAATTAAAAAATAATGACGAGATAATATATCTTGTGTGTTTTATTTTTCCCAACAAATAATTGTTATTTTTCATCATGACATTTTGAAGTACCTACTGTGCATCTAATTTTACATTAGAATGGTGCGTTCAGCCATAGTATAAAGAACAAAGTAGGTTATCTTCATACAAATGCTCCGCGCGCGGCTTATATGTGTGCGCCATAGTATCTATGCGTCGACGCACGCACACTTTAACAAAATCTCGACCCGTTTCTCAGTGCGCCAGGCAGGGCTAACACTGCACGAGGTTCGCGCGCGCATCACTTTTCGGCACTGTTAAATAAAATAAAAAATGTCTGATAACAGTAGAAGAACGTATTGCTGTGTGTTTGGGTGTCTTAATAATTAATCGATTCCAGAACTGTCTCTGTTTAGATTACCTATTGAACAGGAAAGGTAAGCTAGTCACTTTTTCTAGCATAATATAATTTGTAGGTACTTGATGATGAGATACCTACTTACTTATTCTTACTCTTATCATTCTTCATAGTTCCTACTCAACCAGAAATTTAATTACCTACTATACTTAAATATTATAAAAAAATGTGGTATTGTATTGTTTATTTCACAGTTTATCTGATTTGTTAAGAGCGTAGCCGTGTCGCATTATTCCATATAAATGTATTCCCAAATTTACTTTCTGAATACTATGTATAGAGCTAAAGTTTATTTTAAGAAGTTAATAATCTTTTTATAAGCTTTTTATTTTTACTAAATTTATAAATTGATAAAATATTCAATCATAATATGCTTTTCATTTCATAAATTTAGATCAAGTGCTGCTTGTTCGAAAATATTAACTAAAAGTAAAAGTGACAACCCTGGGGATCAACGCAAGAGTAGGCTAATAACTCGGCGGGCGGCTTTAGATAACCTACTGTATATATTTATACTGTGGTTCAGCCCTGTAGGTACTGACAGTACCTACTGAATTTCCGCCAGAACTAACTACTATCTACGAACATTGTAATAGTAATAATTGAACTGGCAACATTTCTTAGAGAATATTTTGGTCGTAGTTCAATGTGGCTGTGATTGAGGTGGCAAAAACACAAACTGATTTTAAAAGGAAAAAGATTCAAAGGCTGGCAATAATTCAAAAATTAGGTGGGAATAACTCCCATTTTTAGGGGTACTATTTTCTCAAGATCCGTTAACAGAATGGTTGAAAAATATTGATTATTTATATTATCTTGTATCTTATTTTGTAAATACATAAATGATATCTGTTTTGTCATCAAAGTTTAATATAGTTTGCTCTTAAGAAATCTCTTTTTATTCATGTCGTCTGAATGAATAATTTTTGTTACCCATAAAATGGAAACCCAGTTATTAACGTGGCAACACCGTTTAAAAAATTACGCTCCGCCATTATTTTCTGTCATTGTCTTGTCAACGAGCCGTGGTCGTAGATTGCTACAGTGCCAATTTATAATTCCACAATTAAATAATTTCCACTCTCACAATGTCTGCTAAATTCCAAGATTACAAAGATAGTTTGGAGCGTAGTCTCAACGACAAAGGAAAGCCATGGACGAAATATTTCGAATTGGCTGAACAAAAAACCGGCGTAAACCGAGTCTATATCTTCGTTGGTACGTTAAGGGTTTTTTATTTCACGTTTATTTATATCTTTAGCAGTGGTTTTGACGTTTTATTTTGTGTTATGCAGGTATGGTGGCGTTCACTGGTTTATATTTAGTGTTCGGGTTTGGAGCTGAATTGATTTGCAACTCGATTGGCTTCGTGTACCCGGCGTATATGTCTATGAGGGCCCTAGAGTCGCCGAATAAAGAAGATGACACTAAATGGCTGACGTACTGGGTGGTGTTTGCATGCTTCTCAGTTGTGGAGTACTTCTCGGACTTCATTGTGGGATGGTTCCCTCTGTATTGGCTCATAAAGGTTAGTTCACCATCCTCCATATGCTTGAGCACGCTTCGCCGCGTCTTGTCGTTACGCCATCGTAAGTAACAGTTGTGGTCGTGAATATTATTATCATTCGTAATGAATACTATTCACGAAATAACACGTATTTCAGAATATTCTCTGAAAATGACATACTGTCGAAATATTACTTTCATTTTGGTGACTGAAGCACCTTTCACAATTCAGTATCAGTGACGCGAGAACTAGGTACTTGCGTGAGATAAATAATCTCTTTATTCTTATCTGTATACAATGTTTCACAATTTTAGTATTCTCAAGATGGACACCAGACAATGTTAGTTTTCACCTTCATCAGTAGGTACAGACATTCTTATCTTAGTTATAACATTAACTTATTAATTAACTACATATGCAGCTGCTCTCTACTATTCTACTATTTATAAACCATTCAAAACTAGACCTTATAACAAATGTATAAAGTGCAATATGCATTCTCAAACATGCATAGAAAAAAATTGACCCTTACTGGTTTTTTGAGGACTACCTGGGCCTCAACCATTTTTTTCCTGTTAGAATAATAATTGTGTTCTTAACAGCAGTGGAATATCTATGTGGAGTATAGGTATGCTAATTTGCATCCTAGACGCCTTATCTTTGCAAGATAATGTCACATATTGTATATCATTGATTAAAACTGATAAGGTTTTACAAGTTCAAAGTCACAGTAAAATAAATACAAAATTGAATATTTTATCTACATTTTACACTGAACTAATGGCTGAAGTAGTTATGATATATAATAGTTACTCATTAAGCTTAATTAACCTAGTATTTGAACCAGTAATTAGGTTAAAAGTTTTTACTGTATATAACACTATAACTCTGTTTTATTAGTAAACCAAGGCTATATTTTGCTACTCTGGTCTAATAGCCACTTGTATGGGGTTTAGGCATGGTTCTTAGGCCTAGTGATAAGATTTTACTTTTGATTGGTGCTCAAAAGTGTACCATTTCAACCATGCTTGAATGATCAGTTGTGTCAATGTGTTGAAAGCTAAATTATTATGTAAGGGTTAATTTAGGCGGGGTATTCTTTAGTGTAATGCAAAGGCATTTGTATGGATTCATTGCCACATGCACAATTTTGGTTGGACCTAACAAAGTGCAGTTGGGTTTTTCCATAATGAACTGTCAATATTTACATAATAGTCTGACGTTGTGCTCGATGTTTGGTACAGACTTAATGTTATTATAACGAGTTTACTTAGTGTAATTTATGGATATATCTATTTCTTTGATAGGTTTACTGTTGACATGATAGTAACAATAGTAATAGCAGTATTTAGGAGATAGATTTTAATTTTTCCCTGCTGTCATAAATAGCTTTGTTTATCAGTATCCTGTTTGGACTTAATTATAACAACTAACAATTACTTTATACTTACACCCATTGCTTGTCAATGTGTTGTAAATGTAAGAGTATACAATATTAAGTAAAAACAATATTGAAGTAGGTAAATGACAAAGAAGTATGATTATATATAAAAATATATATTCACATGGCACATGATTTAACATGAATGCAGATGAATCACCTAGCATTTGCACCTCATTAGATATTTATTACAAACAATGTTATCATAATTTTAATGCATGTTTGTATAAATTTGAATTACATAGAATTCTGTCTGTTGCCATGTCTGTTAGGAATAGAAGATATTTATGTCTTGGTTAGGCATATTAGATACTGATCCTTAAAAAATATTGGTATAAAAAGTAACCTTTGTTTCAAATGGTGAAGGAAAACACTGTGAGGAAACCTGGATTACAATTTCTAATTATAAGTTTGAAATCGCCAACCTGCATTGAGCAAAAGTTATGATTAATGCTCAAACCTTCTCCTTGTGAGAAGAAGCTTTACTCAGCAGTGTGCATTTATAGGCTGTTGATGACGATGCTATCTAAAATCTATCCTGTTTCTTAAATTAGTATTGATTACATACACAGCCATTAATAAAATTATCAGCATTGTAATGCAGGTTATGATCATACTGTTGTATCATATTTCTGATATTTCTATAAATTATGATTCTAAGTCTGTAATGTCCAATGCTTACTCTGCATGATAATGTAAAAACTTGAATCAAGCAAGGTAGATTGGTTCTGATTCATCATCAATTTAATACAACAATTCAAAGTTCAATTTATAAATGTTACTGTCAATTGTGTGTCTATTTCAAGCAGATTGTTTTCATGTATGGTATTCAAATAATAATTTTACCTTATACCTGGGCTCTGGATATGAAATTTTCATTTTGAACTTAAGGATATTGGTTTCATCTATTGTAAACTCAATAGTGGGTTGGTGGTTAGTTTCCTCGCAATGTTGTTATTCACCTCTTAGACAGCTTGTACTTTTCGAAAAGTACCTATACTCTTCAAGGCCCAAATGAATAGGTTGCTTATGGGACGACGTGCTCCATACATCGACGACGTAGACCGCATCATAGCTTACCACTAGGCGAGATAGAGGTCAAACGTTAGTCCATCAAATAAAAAAAAAGCCATGAGTTTGTTTGATCATTACATTACAGTTTTAGTACGAAACCAGTGTAAATAATATTTTGTCAGCAAAGTTGTCATTTTGTGACAACCAGTTGCACACCTAAAAACAAAAAAAAAATACTTTTAAACATGTGCTTTTTTAAAAAAAGAAATGACGAAATCCTGATACCTATCTTACATTGGTATTAGATATCAGTACATACCTGTAATCTATAGCTATATACATGTAGATAATAAAGCTACAAGATTAATTACATCATTTTCCAATAACTGAAGTCATTGTTAGTTACTGCCAAGGATTATTGAACTCTATATAGTTGAAATAGTAGGTATGTTGCCAAAAACTATTAAAAGGTATTACATTTATGTAAAAAAAGATGTCTATTTTTGTAGAGAATACCATAAATTCAGTATAGCATAGTTATATTTATAGCATTTAAATTAATTTATAAATTTTTACATGTTGAAAAAATCCTGTAGTTATTCCAAATTTTAGATAGCAGACTGTAAAATGATATATTTGATCTTTAAAAGATATGCTTGGATCTCTGAATTATTTTCGATACGTATTTCATAATATTATGAAAGTTTAGAATCAGATAATGAAATGTCTAACTTGGTGACAGAATTTCTGTAGTCTATCATTGTAAAGAATTCTAGATTAGGTAATTGTTTCACCACTATAAAATAAAATAAAGGCATAAGAAATTTGATACTTAACATTCACTAGCAAGAGAGAGAGATACAGTTACTGGTATATATGGTAAAAAAACAACACTGCTGCTTTGTTTCGTCAAATAGTGTCTTATCTCTGGGGCTTTCAGTTTTAAATATCTTTGTTGTATTAGGTTGTCCTTTATTTGAGGAACGGCATTAGTCATATCAAGGATAATAATGGGACAATTGTTGTTCCCGATATAGGTAACAAGTTGTAGTTGGAGATTATAGAAGGGAGAGTTCTAGTAGTCTAGTATGTGGCAAGGTTTAAAAATTAGAGGAATGAAACAGCGGGGAAGATAGGTACAGAAACATCATAGTAACAAAATGTTTTGGAAAACATCAAAGACTAGTCAAAATTTGACAGATACAAGATGCAGTAGAAGCGTTTCAATAATTTCAATATCTAAGCCAATTTATTTAAATTCATTCCCAATGCTTGAGTGATATAAAATGTTGTTTAAATATTTCTCTTGATATCACGACTTGCTCACAAATATTTGTTCAAATGTTAGTTACAATCGGATATTTGAAAGATATGTTGACTGAAACCTACTAGATTTCTCAATTATGGTTTTGAATTCAATATTTTAGTAATCTAATCATGTACCCATAATATGTAATGTATGATACATTGTGTACTGTACTATATTTGCAAGCCTTTGCTTCATGCATACATAATTTTTTTTATTAGTTATGAGTATAAAGTGTACATCAAAGTTGAAAATAAAATTCTCCAGTTGCATCACTGAAAAACAGTATGATACATATCTAACGCCCCCACTCGACCCACGTCATGGCGGCAATTGCCACAAATTATTAGAATAAAAAATGTTCTTTGATACCTTGTCTTATGCACTAGTTTGTGCGAATTTTAGGATTTCATTGAAGAAGATTACTTTGAACTCCAAATTATAAATTGTATTGTTGAACTCAAACATTTCAAAACGATAATGCAATGCAGTAAGTTGTTTTAGTTGAAATTATCAATACTGTATCGATTACGATTGTTTTTGGGATCCAGCTTTAAGTAATAGCTTTTATATGAATACCTTCTCAAAACTTGTGATCAAATAAGGGTTATTGACCTCGAATGACGTAAATGACTGGTCCTTTATTAAGGGTGCACTGTAGCAATAACAAATTCATCGATTTGAATTTCCCATTAGTATTTTTTTGTCTTTCTTTTCGTCTCAACCCATTATGGCTTTGGCTGTGGACGCCCTTCATTGTGCCAAAAATTTCATATTCTTCAGTGATTCCAAACAATCACACAAAGATTTATCTTATGAAAGACCTCTTAACCTTCATATAGTTGTAAATTGTATGTTCCTACGAACTGTAGCTACCATATGACGTCACAACACGTCAATTTTTTTCCAATAATGACCATAGTACAGAAACAAAAACGTGTACGCAATTCCGAACCTTAATTTACGTGTTTTATACCTATTTTTAACCAGAATGCGTTGCATTACAGTGCTTCATTATAACAATGAGAATACTTAACGCCACTCTTTGTTCATAGTCATTGTATGCACAGTGCATGGTCGTAAACGTTGTACTTAGTATCATTATTATCGCTATCAACGTCTTGTTAGCACTTCTATGTATGTTTGACATGCGGTTCATAGATAGAAAATGACCTATTTATGATGTCTTATCGATTTCGAAAAGACTTAAAATGTTTATTGTAGTTCACATTTTTGATAGGTTCGTGCCAGCAGACGGATCACCTGATGGTAAGCAATCGGTGTCGCCCATGGACACCTGGAACACCAGAGGCGTTACAAGTGCGTTACCGGCTTTTTGGGAATTAGGCGTTTGAGGATCGTTGGGGATTCAGGGATCGGGGAGATTGGGGAAGGGGAGGGTAATTGGGCCTCCGGTAACCTCACTCACACGACGAAACACAACGCAAGCGTTGCTTCACGTCGGTTTTTTGTGAGGCCGTGGTATCACTCCGGTCGAGCCGGCCCATTCGTCCCGAAGCATGGCTCTCCCACACTTAATATGTCGAAAAGTGGGTGTTACATTAACTGCATAACTCTTCGAAAAACAAAAGACGAGCTAAAAGCTATTTTGGGGGCCATCCTAGTATATTTTCTTGTCCAACACAAAAGCATGTCCAGATCCGGAACAACAATTTCTGAATCACACACTAGTTGTACTTCCTTGCCATGTCTATTAAAATGTTTTTTTTTTGCATTCTACTCGAGTTTATGACAGGGTTATTGAAACGAGTAATTTTTAAAGCTTTTTTTACTCTCACTGGCAGATTGCCATTAATGATTGATTTCGAAACTAAAATATGACATTCCGGTTAAAACTAATTTCTTGTAGTGTAAGTTCAATGGTTTCTGACGCCATGCGCTATAGCGCCATTGAGTATTAAACGTTTTATAGAGATTTTTTATCACAACAATGTAGTAAATATCCCCTTATTCACACATCATAAGAAGTGTTCTGATTCTGATATTATGTGCTTGTAAATTTTATTGATCATAAATGTTGTAACATTATGGCCTTTATTCACCTAAGAATAAACAAAAAAACCTTTGTGATAGTCTACTATCAGACGTTTTGGACCGCCGTTTTAGAAGAATTTGCCCTAATCTCTATGCTTGGTAGGTAGGTTGAATATTGCAGTCAGCAAAATGTACATTTATTAGTGTAAATTTTGTTACTGTTATCCGGCCTCAGTTAATAATAATACACTTGCTTTTACCCGCTGCTTCGCTCGCGTCACAAAAGGATAAAAAGTAGCCTATGTGACATATACATACCAATACATACAGCGCCATCTATACCAATACTTTTGTTTTCCCTCGGGAATATCAAATTTTTTCGAGATAAAAAGCCTATTATTTAATCCAGACTACTAACTTTACGTCTGCAAAAATTCAATGCAATCGGTTTAGTAGTTACGGCGTGAAGTCGGAACAAACAAACAAACTCACTTTCCGATTTATAATATTAGTAAGGATAGTATGGTCAAATACTCAAGCGCCACTCAATTTTAAAATGCTCTCAATAATAGTTCGATCACTTTAAATTATTTGTAAAATGACAACCCGATGTTCAAGCACAATTTTAAATTAGTAGCGTTTCAGTATTCGGGCATAAGTCGGCTCTTCGACATAACGACACCCAGTAGGAGAATAAGGGTTTTTTAAGGGGGGAAAATCATCGAATAACTTCTCCCGCCTGGGTTAGACGGAAGGGAGTGTCAGACAGTTACTGACTAAAAAAGAGAATAAGGGTGGTTATAAATATTATCTACGCTTGTGTCACTACATAACTTCACGCCTGTCTCCCATGGGGGTAGGCAGGGACTATAATTACCTAGAAAGCCAATTCTTGTCTCTACAGTTTTTACCGAAATTATTGATTGCCTTGTCGTAACCCTCCATTTTCACATTCCGCAGTGCATCTTCGTCATATGGTGTTACCTGCCGACGGACTTCAACGGCTCGCTGATCATCTACAACCGCATCATCCGCCCATACTACCAGAAACACCACAACCGCATCGATGACATTGCCAACTCTGGTACGTATTCTCGGTGCGTAACTGCATATATTATTGTATACTTCTTAGAGAACATCAAGCTACTCTATCTGTGATTGATTTTCGACTCTATTGTCGTGTAATAAAGTTGAATGTCTATTGAAGATGGGTTAATAGATTTATCAGCTCTATTGCGTTGTGATAAAGTCGAATTTCTGTTGAAGATGGGTGGCTTGTTAGGCTGTACCATACGTTAACTATAACTATAACATACGTTCATGTAGGTAGGAATGTGTTCCCCTTTATACATGCACATCAAGCTAAAGTAATGTCTAATGAATTTAACACTCTATTGCTATGCGATAAGGTTTAAATTCTATTGATGGGTATTAGGCTTTACTAATATGTAGGTAGTAAGTAGATTCCTATAGGTAGGTATACAATACAATCATTTTTGTTTGTGCATGATTTGCACTGTTAATTCCCCAAATGTTTTGAAGTAATTTGAACCCTATTCCGTGTGTATAAATGTCCCTTTTGTCCAACATCGCCATTATTCTGCACTTGCACAGATTTTCCCCAAAATCAGACTAGTATGCTAAAGTGACTTTTGTCCTGTAGGACCAAAAGTTCTTTTTTGTTTATCAGCACTCGTCTTTACAATGTTTCAAAGTGCATTGTCCTTTATACTGCTATATAAATGTAAATAATATGATAAAAAGCTATTCTTAGATATTTATGAGAGAAAAAATATACTCATCTTCATAGAAACTTGTTATTTTTATATCCATCCAGATTAAATTAACTTAAAACAAAGCTTTTGTTCCACATATCTACATAGAAATACATTGCCAAAAAAAATTGTGTAGTTTTAAAAAGGTCGTAAGGACAGTTTCACTCATAATAAACCTTAAAGCTTCCAGTAATAAGGCATATATTAGGTAAAATCTACATTTTCTTAAATAATACTGTACAAGTTCTTTTGTTCGTTTATTTCTAAATGCCCTTGAGTTTGTAATCAAAAGAGGCATCTCAAACATCTCAGTCGGCCCAATTTATAGTAATTCATTTAGGAAACAATTTACTCATTAAAGATTTGTGACGTGATTTTATAAAAATCTAATAAAATCCAAGTACTTAATAAAATAACAAATGAAATATATATGTGACACTTAAAAATGCGACTTAATCACTTTGAAATTGAACTGAAATTAAAATATTTTAGGTTTGGAGAAAATTCTGAAGTCTGCCGACAAACATTTTGATAAAACCATTAAGGCTTTTAACAAAGCAATGAAGGACTTATAAACAGGTACATAAAGTACATTTTCGCTAAGCAAGCTTTGCATGGCGAGGGGTATAAACACCGTGTATATAAATTGTTGCTATACTATATGTTGCTCATTTGTGACGTAACACGGGTCATTAGTTTGTCCATATTTTGGACTCGGGGTGGAGTATTATATTATGTATCTACACAAACAGAATATAGTGGGCACCATTTTATTTTTGGGATTTTGTTCATAAATTATCTTCTACCGGTGTATAGTAATGAGATCCACTTTCAGTAGTGTCTTTTTTAATTTCTCGCACCGTCGAATCTAAAAACTATAATTATCTTTATTTTCACAACAATGTCACATAGGAATGCCATCACACACAACCTTTTAAAAACAATTATTATAATAATATTACTGTTTCCTTATCAGAACTAATTTTCAAAGCAAATAGGTTTTATATCCTGACCGCCAGACGTCAATCGATTTTGACGTTTAGCTTTTTTTTATGTAGAGTAGTAAAAAGTTTTTTTTTTGAAAAGAGTATTTATGTTTATTTTTTTTTATACGACAACAGCAAATGTGCAACAGCTGGTACAGGGTGCCAATAACAAGATAGAGCATTCAATAAGAAGGTTAAATCAAGGTTAAACAGACAAGATTTTAATATAGCTTTGCAGAACAAAGTATGTTAGATTCTTTCTTTTTCTTTTGTAGTTTGGATTACAGCTGATAGATTCGTTTAGTTATTTGTTTTTTATTTTGTTGTAGATTTTTTGGAATTATTTTTAGAATTTGCACTATGTAATCATATAAGATAGACCTTTGTAATTCCAATGTTATATTCTGATGTCCCCCTTTTAACCTGTATTAAAATATCGCCATCATTTTATACCGTGGGTCTATATTTCATTTATAAATCGCTACCGATCCGACCGACTTATTTCTAGGCACTATTAGATACAGTAATATATTTTAAAACGGTTATATGGTTTGTAATGTTGTTAATAAATCTCTAATAACCAATAGCATATCGGAAATCTGTCTAAATTCAATAAAACGTTTAATAACATTTGTAATAATCTTCCATCTCTTTCTATTCATACTATATAGACAGAGATCGCAATATTTCCTTACCCATCTAAGAAGAATGTAAAAAACATAATTTCCTTGCCCCTAAGATACTTATATGTATAATTATGCTTGATGCCTTTGTACGAGTTTGTTTTACGTTGCAAGCAATTCTGGCGCTCTGATTGGTTGGTTCATGGGAGCTGGCCAACCAGCACGTCGAATGCGTACTCATTTCAATGAAACTCCTACTAAGACCTCTATTTTCACCAACCTCTTCTAAAAACAAACTTTAAGTCACGTTAAGCGACAATTTAGGAGTGTTTGGTGAAAACTGCCAATAAAACCGTATTTGTACACCCTTTATATATTCAGGACACCCTGTAGACAAAAGCCCCATTCTGTAATAGGGGAGTTTCCGGGGTAAGAAAATTCAAAATCAAATTAGTCCGTCAGTTAGATAATGAAAAAATATTAGACACGTATTTTTTTATTTTCTCGTTTAAAGTTACAATACTTAAATAAAATGGCGTTAAGTTTAGGAGTGGGATGTAGTTACGTCATAACGTGGTACATTTTGTAGCACGCTGTGACGTCACGCGACATTTCAAATCAATATATCGTCAAAAGCATTTAATTTTGTGAGAAAAGAAAAAATACGTGTCTAGTGTTTTAAAATAATCTACCAGACGGACATTAAAATAAAATTTAGGAAACAACCCTATTGTGTGTAGCCCCAATCCTAACACGAGTCACTCGTTTATAGGTAAACAAGATTAGAGCAAGTGACATAGCAATCAAAATTCAACTGTTGGTAAGTTGTCAAACAGACTTTATGTGATCATGTTTGTGAGTAGCTGGCAGGAAATATTTTATGGGAGAAAGACTTGTAATAATAGTTAAATTGATAAATAATATTTAAACAATGGCTTGTTGATAAGTTGTCTATTATGTGAGTTCTTATCACTTATTTATTATGCATGCCTTGCATCGGAACTGAGATGTGATAGTTTTTTTTCTATAATTTATGGCATCTGGCCTATTAAGATTTAAATGTAATAGTTTTAGAGGTGTGGGTTTTTGAAATGTTCTTTCAAAGCTTCGGGGGAAACATTGGTACTTTTTTATCTGTGTGTGTAACTTCATTACAATTATGTGATGTCTGTATATTCCGCAATCTATCAATGTTTGTGTGATACCTACCGGGTGGGGATATTTCATAAAATTATTTACTCGATTAGTTTCAAGCCACGGTAGGGACCCATAATATCGCGTCGAGAGTTCTCGTGCACGATACTCGTAATTCAAGTTGCATAGATTTTGTACGAAACATGTATTTTCTGCCAGTTATATTCACAAACAGTTTTAGATGTCACTTAATACTAATATGACTTACCTATTCTGTATTGTAATGCTCCTAACTATGCTTGTGTCCAGTCACTAATCTACCACCGTATGTGCAATTAACTTGCATCTGCCTTTAGGTAATGCGTTATCTATGTAGATCTTTTTTAGATGATTAAAGTAGCATCTTGTTGTTAATAAGTAGGTATATTACTGGCAATAATATGAAGAGTATATCATAAACAATTTATTTATAGATATGGCTCTTACGGCCAATTGCATTAGACGATTAACGAGCAGATGGATCACCTGATGGTAAGCAATCGGCGTCGCCTATGGACACATGGAACACCAGAGGCGTTACAAGTGCATTACCGGCCTTTTGGGGATTAGGAGTTTGGGGATTATTCGGGATTGGGGCGATTGGGGGAGGGGGGGTGTAATCGGGCCTCCGGTAACCTCAATCACACGACGAAATACAACGCAAGCGTTACTTTACGTCGCTGTTCTGATAGGCTGTGGTATCACTCCGGCCGAGCTGACCCATTCGTGCCGATTCAGGGCTCTCCTTCACTTATTTTTTTATTATTTAGTATTGTAGACTAAAGATAGAATTTTGACATAAACTCCATAATTGTAAACTATGTCAAAGTATTTCTTGTTAGCAAATCCAGATATTTAGGTATATTGTACCTAACTGGCTGTTAGTATTGATTGCAATATTTAAGTATGTATTAAAAACCGATTATAGTAGCATTTTCTCAGTACCTACGTATGTAGAACATAGAAGTATTATAAAATGGGTTTTACATGCGGTTTACTGATAGAAATAGCTCTTAAAATGTATTTAGAACTTTATCTTATACTCAAACAAATGACTAAGCAGGTTTTGATGTCATTTTAGTATTGTGACGTCATAAACGTTGCATCTTAATGATCTGTGGTGATTTTCCGTATATTAAAAAAAAATAAAACTACAATGAATAGATCACATTAGCGATAAGGATTTGACATCATATTTTGATTGCTTTTAATGACTGGTATACAAGACAATAATATGCAATTGGTAAAAAAATAAACATTTATAGTTTCTAATCAGAAATTTTATCGCCATCAACAGCACTTAACAAATTCACTGCAGCAAGGCATCTGTTAATTCGAACTTGTGATATCAGCTAGATCGCATTCTCGTCCGTCATTGATGGAGACTATTCGCACAACCAATGACATGGCAGACTGTAATCGAGTACATTTCGATTTTTCGAATTGGAAGTTACAGAAAAGTTTAGCTGTGCTATGATATCGTTATTATCATCTTGGTAACTGCTTAATCCCTAAGCGGAGCGGTTACCGGTAACCACTCTCCACTAACTCCATTATAGACCGTTATTTCCGATGGTTAGAGACTACTTTTGTATGACAAATTTTGGGTACGATATATCAACGTATTGAAGGTCTTCATTTATTAGAGACCGCTGCTGCCCAGTCTGTCAACTATGTAGTCTCTAGCCAACTCTTACCTTGGAACCCATCTACCTTTGGCACCTTTAGGAGGTGTACAGATATGACAAATGTATTTTTTCTACTCTGCTGAAGTCAGAAACACACAAAAATACAAACATGTATTATTGCTCACCTAATTACCGAATGCAATCAAAATTAATGTCAGATCCTATTAGTAATCTTTTGAAGAGACTCGTAATAGGTAATGCATTTGACCTCAAAAGTTGATGTTATACTTTTAATCTGTCAAACACGAAGCGGTCACCGGTGACCGCGACCTATTGTTCTTTAATTGTGTCTATAAAACCGGTACTCGACGAGTTAACCCGCAAAGCCACAGATTGTTGACCGTCCCATACTGATATACAATACATGTTTTTATAGTCTGTGTATTATATTTTCGTTTCCTTTGTTCCACAGCCAGCCGCTTGGTAGCAGACGCAGTAAGGAAGAACAACTAAAATAATAAAATATTAAAAATAAATTTCTGTGGGAAGCGAAAGTACAAATTTATTTCTGCACCTGCTTTCACGAGCTTCGCGGCACTCTCACCAACCGAATATAATAATTATTAAAATACAATAATACAAATTAACAGAACAAAAGTAAGCAGTCCATGTTCATTAAAATGTCAATTAATCATTTGTGATCAACATTCCTCGCGGTTTATTCTATTGGAATATACATTATTTTTAAGTTTTTAACACTTTCAACAAATTGAGTGTTGATTAAAAATGAATTGTTGAATAGTTTAGGCTTATACCACTGCAAAACGTGACACTGTTGACACTGAGGCAGTGGACCTCCTGAAATCATCTAATTTATGACCATTACAAATAAAATTAATGATTTTAAAATATTGATAAATATGTAATTTTCCTAATGTAGTCAAGGGCATGTTGGTTTTTTTTTAATATTATTTTAGAAAGACCTTGTATTATTAGCTAAGTTGTTTATAATCGTGACACATTTTTTATACTTCTTAGTTTTAAAATTATTAGTTGAATCTATCTTTTCCTGGCTTGTATGATCTTGTAGGGATTGCAATCCTTAGAAGCGTAAGTAAAGCCCCCGTATTTTAGTTTCCCTATATTAAGATCTCTTTTGTGGAACAATGAATTTCCTAATGCTCTGTGTTATTGCACATTTAGATTTTGCTCAAGGAATGTTAGTAATTTGTCATGTTTAAGTTTGTCTTTTTTTAAGGTTGAATAATGTTGATAGTTTTTCAAGTGTTGCCAGCTACAAAATATAGAATCGTGTTGCCATATTACCAAGAAAATTACTGTACCTCTTCCAAAACCAAGTAAGAAATGTTTAGATGTATTTTTGTACAATTTTAATAATGCTAGCCTAGCTTGTACTCGTGGCTTGGTCTGCGTGGTATATAGTACCAACAAGAGAAACCCCAAAGTTTTCATAGAATAATCATGTTTTAAGTGTTTGGTGTTATGCTTGTGATGTGAAAAATCCATGTTATGTGCCTTTAACATTTGGCTGCCATCATTATTGTATTCACTCAAGGAATTGTTATACTTGTCATTTTTCACATAATAAAAGGAATTCATTGTATTCTTTGTTCTTTATTGACAATGTTTTTCCTAATCTTTGTCAGTTTTGGGGATTTTGACTAGTTTTCACACCAGGTTCAGGTAGAAAAGTACCTACCTAATGGTAGGTACTTTTCTATTGGTTGTGGACTCTTTCTATTGGGGCTAAGGTGAAAAAGTTGTTTAAAATAATTAGAATAAGTATTGCCTATGAATCAAAGTCAAATAATTAATTCATTTACCCTAAATGCACTATTAACATGTAAAGTACCGGAGGGCAGAGACGCGAGACGCAATATGTTTTCTATTGTGTCTCATATATAGACAGGCAAGGGGTTAAGGGATCCGCCAGCTAGTTAGCAAGCAGGTTAATACCTTGGTGAATTACTGCAGGAGTAAGTGGAAACTATAGTTTTAATCTTCTCCTCTTATAATATCTTCTGATTCACTTCGTTGCGGGAACCAAGACAGTTACTCATGTCCCTGGGACGCGCCGGACTTCAGTGTTCCGGTGATTTCATGGTTGTATCTTCTGTAGATCCTGGCTTACAGTATTTGCAGCGGTTTAGGGAGGTTGTGGCGGGCTTGTCCCTTTAAAAAAAAAAGCATGTTTAGCATCTGCAAAGCGGCAGTAGTTGGATGAGAAGGGTTGAACATCGAACTCCGTGGTTTTCTATAGTAAAGCCTATGTCTAGCAGTCAGCAGTGAATGGAAATGGGTTGATGCTGATTATGACAACACTTGATGAAGTTTGACTAATGTTGTTATCTGTCATTGTATGCTAAGTCTAATTTAAAGAATTGGGAAACGTTTTTTTTTGGAATAGGTGGCAAACAAGCAGACGGATCATCTGATGGTAAGCGATTAGCGCCGCCCAGAGGAGTCTCAGGTGTTAGACTGGTGAAGCTACAACAAGTTTGGAGTTATAGCTGACAAGGAAGCATTGGTACCTTTACAGATACCAATGGAGAATTCATACTCTTCATTAAAACAAGTAACCCTAAAACCTAATACCTATATGTATAATAAAATTATAGAAAAGTCAAAACTGTACATTGAATATTTTTAAAAAGAATATTAGCCAAAAATATATTTAGAATTTTTGTCTGTCTGTATGTATGTCCGGGATGATCTTCAAAAGTACTACATGGAATTACTTCAAATTTTGCATGGATATTACTAACAGGCCGAGTCAACATATAGGCTACATATTATCACGCTATCATCTACAGCGGAGGAGCTGTGAAACACAATTCCACGCGAGCGAAGTCGCTGGCAACAGCTAGTTACCGTAAAATGGGGTGGATAGGGATCGAGAGGTGAATAGAGACAGAAGAGGGGTGGATAGATATTGGGAAATTGTTCATAGCATCAATTCACCCCCTCTTCTTTCCCTATTCACCTCTCGAACCCTATTCAACCCATTTTACCATATTGTATTAAGCTGAAGATTTTGTTTGTTTGAACACTTTGAAACTACTGATCCAAATTGTACAGTCCATTTATCTAGGAAGGTTATTATAGACTATAAAACATCACTACAATTAATAGGAGCTAAGCAGAGCAAGAGAAACTGCACCAGTCACTAGTTGTGAAAATAAAACTGTTCACACACACAATTTCACAATAACATTTATTTCACTATAATAATCTACATATAGGTACTAAATTAATAAATAAGGTGTTATGAAGTAGTATTCTCTTTAGCTTTCTGCTCCTCTAACTTGGCTATGTTCTCTCTTTCTGTCCTTCGGTTTCTCCAAGCTGTCATGTAGGAGCGAGGGTGGATGGGGAAGAAGCCAGATAGTCCTGGAAAAAAGAAACATTATAGTTTTAAATATTGTACTATACTAATGACTTACATTGTTTGATCAACTTCCTGGAAGCATCACTGGTGTATTTTGCATAGAAAATGTTGTTACAATAGCATTCATAGAGGTTGTTTCCAACTAGACTAACTGCCTGCTTGAAGTCATTGGGTAATGTTTATATCTAGCAGAAGATGTCTTGTAACTGATTTGATGAGAGACTAAAGTTGTTGTAGTTAAAAAATGAGGTATGGTATAAAAAACACCAAGCAGTTGTCATATTTCAACATAAGTAATTTGTTCAAGATTGGTAAATGGTAATTGGTAAGTATTCTACTCTTGATCTTTCAGTATCATTATTATGATTCTAGTCGTAACTTACCAAGAAGTTCAGCAACAGGATTTGTGACATGAGCACCTTGGCCCAGCCAGTATTTTATTCGTTCCAAATTCAAAGCCACTAGCTTCTCATTGTTTATGTTAGGCATGGGATCGTAAGAGCCTAGCTGTTCAATTACTGGCTGACTGTTTAGTCTCCTTCGCTGTAAAAAAGTAAACAATTTATGAAGTTAACTATTCAAATTTTATTTATGAAATTGGCATAGACGTGTTACGAAGTGAATCGAAGTCGATTTCTATCGAAGTACCTTTACTTAGATACTTTACTAAACAATAAATGCGAGGCCCACAATTTATTAAGAAAAATGATGACTACTTACATGGGTAACAGAAATATGAAAGAAAGGTCTGTTCGTACATCCTTGGCGTATCAAACGAATAGATTTTGCGGCTCTAGCAAAATATCTGCCGGTACCACTCGCTGGAGGCAACGACATTTCTCAGATTTATGTAATTTATTTATTCTAACACAATATCAATAACAGAAAATAACCTCAAAATGGGAACACAACATGAAGTTTTGATTCGCGTTCGGAAATAAGAGGTTATGTATTTACTGTCAAGTTCCGTAACCAAAAGTTTTATATATTTAACTTATAAAAAAAAATTGATTAATATAAAACTGGACTGATCAATTATTCAAAATTGTTAATAAAGCAATATGCATCTTGTTATTGAATAACTCAATAAAATAGTCAAGAAAGTGATAACACTTTCTTGACTACATTAATTTCAAGACGAAAAACATTTTGCGTCAATAAGACGTAGGTAACTTTGAAAGAGTTCAAGTACCTTCCGAATTCGAATAATCATTTTAAATTGTTATTGAATAGATTGTTACTTTATTATTTGAGATGGCGTTGAGGTAGTCTAGTTTTTTTTTAAGGGAGTAAATTCATGGAAGTACTGCTCCCGCCTGGGTGAGACAGGAGGGAGTGTCAGACTCTTATTGACTAAAAACTTAAAAACCACCCCGTTCCTTCTCCTGCACGTCGAGCCGGAGCCCCGGTAACCCGTTAGGTACTCCGCGACTCCGAATCGGCATCGGCCCTGTTGGGCCCCATCCGTGGTGGTGTGCTGATGGCTCTTTGAGGTGCGCGCGGAACGCGACGCGCCGTACGCTCGGGTCTGTTTCTGGTCGGACGGTGAGCCACCCATGCTCGCCGTCCGCAGGCCCGCGGTCACTGTGGCTGGAGATCGAGATGATGTAGTCTAGTAGGTAGATAATTATGTATGTAGCCCACCTATAGTGTTGTTTAAAATAGTAGGCACAGCTTCGATACCTAAATTAGAGGCTAGGAAGTTTAGTGACAACCACCATTTATCACATTCTCCATAGGGTACCTATTAGAATAAAGGCATGTGCTTTTAAATTAATTAAGTACATAAATGGCTGAGACCGTACTAAAACGAATTATCAACATAGTTATTTCTGTTTTCTACACACCTACATCTAGGTAGGTAGGTATACCTGTAAGTAACGGAAAACCGAAATCTTAAATTATTAATCGTAATTTTGGACTGAATTGGAAAAACGTAGGTACATACCTATTTATCTCACTACGTTGTTACGTACTTATCGTTTTTTTCCATACTGCAAAATCAACCGAGGTACCAGGATTTCATAAAACGCGGAGAGTGCTGACGCTGAGCAAACCAATAGAGGAGCTATTGCGACGGTGGCGCCTCTAACGACCGCGACCG